AAACTATCATTATTATAATGATTATCTTAATAAAAGTTAAACAGGTCTTATATTAAAAATAGGAGGAAGTAATATTTTACATATATGAGAATTTGTTAATTGTGAATTCATGTGAGTTAAAATTGTCAAGCTCCGGATAGATGTGTAATAGGAAAATATTTGTGCATGATGTCTTGACAAAAAAAGTGTGAATTTTTTTTTTAAAAAAAAAAAAAACAGCAAAGTGCAAAAGCGTGAAAGATAAAAAAGGAATGGAGACATATTGCCGCGTGAGCAACTTTATGGCGTCTGATTAGACTTGATCCTCCCGTGAATGTTCTACGTGGTATGGGATCCCAACTCTTCAAATTATACAGGTTACTGCCCTTTTTGTATATTTTTTATTGGGAACATACACAGTAATACTTGTTTCCCCCTCTCTAGTTTATTTCTCATATATGATCTCCAATCCATCCCAATGTGGCCATCAATGTGTCTGCTTCTTTTTTTTACACTAAAAAAGAAGTGACATTTCAAGAATCTACCATCTCACTTTTGGTCTTTTTACCTGATAAGTTTGCCTTTTGCCCCTTTTTATCCTACCAAATTTTTCTAGTTTTTACTTCTTTTTTTTAGCTGAATTCTCTAGTTTTTACTGACATCTTCTTTTGAGTACACAAAACGATGTCTTACACATGCAAAGGATTATTAACGTTGAACTAATCAATTTCAGAAAAAATGTGCTGCCTAAAAAAAAAAGCAAGAAACTTAATTGTAATAAATATATTTTACTTTAAATTCTAAAAATAAAAGAGTCTTAATTTTGATTTTTTTGTGTACAAATACATGAGAGGACAGTGGCGCGTGTTACATTCTTCTGATTTTATTTATAACGGAGAAAAATGTGTAAACGGGAGCCAATTTTCAATACAAGTCATTTATGTTCTTATCCTACACCTGCTTCACTAGAGTCAGCCACCTACGCACATAGATCCCCTCCCCCTCTCCCTCTTTCTCTGCGCGCTTCTTTTCGCCATTGGTTCTCTCGCCATATGAAGTCTTAGCAGCCAGACGTCGAGTTTCTCGTCGTGTCCAAGGTTGCTTCCTCTTGAATGGCCTCCCATAATCATCAACACCTATCACCTCGCCATCTCTCTCTCCGACTCCGATCAGTCTAATTGCCTCACTCACGCCCTCCTCCATTCCAATTATTCCCACCACTCTCGCACTAACACTGACTCTGACGTTCCCAACAATATCGACGCTAACAATTTCCTCAACCTCCACGCTACCGCCCCTTCTGACTCAACCGCAGCTGCTTCTCACCGCTCGATCCTCCGCCCTGACCAAACTCACGTCATTGACGACGTCGCTGCCGGGAACTCCCTCATCGACGGTACTGCCCTGTCCCACGAGTCCGCCGATTTGAATATGTCTTCGGGCCACGACCCCAGTGCGAAGAGCGAGGTGCTTGTGGAGGACGGCGAGGAGAGGTTGGCGAAGTGGGAGAATGCGAGGTCCAAGGCGGAGATTCTAGCTCATCCGCTGTACGAACAGCTGCTGTCGGCACACGTGGCGTGTTTGCGGATCGCCACGCCGGTTGACCAGTTGCCGAGGATTGACGCTCAACTAGCGCAGTCCGAGAATGTGGTGGCCAAGTACTCAGCTTTCGGACATGGAGCACATAGCATGGTTGCGGATGAGAAGGGAATCGATCAATTCATGGTATATTCCAAAATTCTCTGCCATTTATTGGATAATAATTCAACGTTGTTTATGGAAAAAAATTGTGAGGTATAAATTGGAGCCAAAGGAAAAGACACTGAGTTTATGGATGTAGTATAGCTGGCAATTATAAGGCTCTCTATATCAAATCTTAGCTTCTATTTGCTTTTAGGGCCTTCCAATTCGATTCTTGTTCCAGTGAGATGAGTTAATTAGATACCTTGTTGGCTGATAAAGTGGTCGCTGGAAAAGAAAACAGAGAAGCAACGAAAGAAAGGAAGGTAGTGGAGCATGTTTACAATACTGTTTGCGCTGGGCGATGGAATGTGAAGCAGGGCTTTTGGGAATGGAATATGTGAGAAGAAATCAACTCCGGATGATAAAGTCCTGGGGAAAAAAGAGAACGATGTGAATTGGTAGCGAACAATTGGGGTTTTATTTGTCGCGGGGTAGATTTTTCCCCCTGTTCCCGGCTGTTTGGACACAACAGATGTGAAAATCGCCTCTACCCTTTTTTAAAAATTCATTTTTCCCTTGCAGTTTTTTCTTTTAACCACATCCTTGGTTATTATTTTCAGTCATAATTGATTTGGTAATAGTTTCTTTCTTCTCGAGCCTTTCACGATTTATCCGAGGAGTTTCCCTCTAGAAGTCGGAGAGACTGGTCTGAAGTGAAGCACGTCTTTAGGAATTTAAATTCTTCTCACTGCGATGAACAATTCTGGGTTGGCGCATATAACCTACCTGCATGCGTGTCGACTATATTATGGAGTTCTATTATTTCGTTTGTGCATGCACGTGATTCTAGCTATGGATTTTGTATTTACTATGGCATAATTCAGTTTTGATCTGTTTTCTGTTTGATGTTTCAGTCGCATTATGTTCTGTTGCTGTGTTCCTTCAAAGAACAGCTCCAACAACATGTCCGGGTTCATGCAATGGAAGCAGTCATGGCATGTTGGGAGATAGAACAGTCCTTACAAAGTCTAACAGGTGCAAAGAATGATTTCGTTTAGCTTTAATGATTGTTGCATCTTAGAATAAAAATAACGTGATGCTACTTCCGTTAATGTTTCCTAATCAGCTTGCCACATAGTGTATTCTTATGTTCCCTCAATTGTATTGCTTCTGATATATAGAAAGAAGATTATTTCTAAGTTGTTACAAGAACATGACAGTGAATTAGTATATCCGGACATCTCTGCATTATTTAGATGCGTAAGACACAAATTTGTAATTTTCTTGCTCCTTATATATCTTAACATCTTATTCATAGGTTACCAAACGCTTCAAGATTTAAATTTTTCATGTATCAAACTGGACCCAAACACTTGGTTGGTTACCTAACTTCATGTGCAGAAATTAAGTTGTTGAGTGATAAAGCTATAATTTTTACCCAGCAGGAGTTTCACCTGGAGAGGGTACGGGGGCTACCATGTCTGATGAGGAAGAAGACCAAATAAATAGCGATGGCAATCTTTTTGATGGTACTCTGGATGGTTCAGACAGCATGGGATTTGGCCCTCTTGTTCCAACAGAGACCGAGAGATCCCTCATGGAGCGAGTTAGGCAAGAGTTGAGACATGAACTGAAACAGGTTAACAGATATGGAACGATGATATAGACTTTTCTTTCATCCGCTTCTTAGATGTAATTTAATATCTTTGGTGTTCTTGAGTGTAGGGCTATAAGGATAAAATTGTGGACATAAGAGAAGAAATTTTGCGCAAGAGACGAGCTGGCAAACTTCCCGGTGATACCACCTCTGTCCTTAAAGCTTGGTGGCAAGCCCATTCCAAGTGGCCTTACCCTACTGTAAGTTTGGCTGATCGTAACGTTGATCTTTCTCATAAACCGTTGCTTGATTCTTAATATTGTGTCTTATTTTGTATCTGGCTCATCACGAATTCTCAATTAAAAATGTGATCTACAGGAGGAAGATAAGGCAAAGTTGGTACAGGAAACTGGTTTGCAATTAAAGCAGATTAATAATTGGTTCATCAATCAAAGGAAGAGGAACTGGCACAGCAATGCTTCAACTTCTACAGTCTCAAAGAGCAAGCGGAAAAGGTATAACTACTTTCCAAAAGTGAAAAATAATGACACCGTTTTTTCCAACTAAGATTTTGATAGAAAATAAATGATGTTGCAGGTGATAACAGCACTCATCATAACATCTAAAACAGCAAAAGTGGGCAGAACGTTTTGCGTCCTGTGGAAGAAGAGGGATAGTTAGTACTGAATACAGATGAGGAACAGAGGAAGGTAATGTGGAGGAGCCAGCCTGCAAATAGTTTATTAATCCTTAGATGCATCCCGGCGAAACCAATCTGAGGGTTTATATTATGTGTTCACATTCAAATGCATACGAGGTATATGGAAAAGAATAATGAGGGGTTGTGGGTGTACAGCAATGATCTGTGCAATTTTCCTGAGAATCACACTAGCGTGATTTTGCTGTCATTTTCTTTGAATTTTGGGATTTGCCGTATAAAGAGGTCTTTGATGTAGTTAAAAATTAAAATAGTAGAATTTCAGTGTCTAAATTTTCCTCCAGTAACATTTTTTTTCCTCTTGTCTATTTATTGTACTTTTGGTTTGTTTCCAACCATATAGAAAACGTTGTTGAACTTGCACCTACTAAACTCTGTAAAGCTTTTGTAACGTGATGTGTCTGCATGGGTTTTGCATTGTAGTTTTGTCTCTTTTTCTTTTCTTTTATTTGGGCCACGGCTTTGTTGTCCATTGGACTGACTAAACAGTACAGAAAGTAGAATCAGCTCCCTTCTCGTGGGCGTTGAGGTGATCCTGATCCCAGTCAATCAAATGTAAATGATCTATGTATCAAAAAAAAAATATAAATGATCTATATCTTAAACTCGCAAGTAATAATTTTTCTCCAAAATCATAACTGAGGGGGATTGCCCCAAAAAAAAAAATTGCCCAAAAAAAAAAAACAGAACTAATTTTGGTGCTCATCGTAGGGATAAATATTATCATATTCATTAAATTTTAAACATTTAAATTTCATATGAATGACCGAGAATTAATTTTTTTATATTTTTATTTTTTAAAAAATGTTTTTATTTAATAGGCGGAAAATTTAAAATAAATGTACTTTTTTAATGTAAGTTTTTTTGAAAAAAATTATTTAAAAACTATTAGTTGAGAGTTTTAAATCTAGACTATTAAAAATTGTATCTAAATAGTATAGATTTCACGATAGTAACGAGTATAATAATGTTCATAACTATGAGTATTTAAACTACTACCAAAGCTATGACGAGTGCATAAATATATGGGCATAATCGACGATGAACAGACGATGTTAAGGGAGGTCGGCTTGACCACTGCAGTGAAGTAGGAGTGAGCCGAGGACCCAAATAATGTCATCTAGCGGCGGTTGGAAAACTGACTTGGTACGCTATCTCCCGTCTCATCCCACCCAATGTTCGTTAGTTTATTAAAACCACAAGTAATACGCGCAGGTGATGGGGTCTTGTCGTGAACACAGTCTGAAGCTAAAAATGGATGTTTCCAAATGCAAAGCAAGTACAAAGTAGCGCGTCCCAATACATGGAATGGATGTGACAGAATTCGCTAACTTTAAAGCTTCGCTCTGGTTGAAGTATTAATTGTGGAGACACACACGGTTTACACACAAAACAAGCACCACCACGCACTCTCCCCCGCTTGTTCGGGCGCACCACGCATTCCCCTCACTTATATATTCCACCGCTCCAGCCCGCTTTCATTTCCATCTTCATCTCTCCTCACAATCCTCATCCATTCTCTTATTTGTCATCTGTATCTGCTTCGTCATTATGCATACCGAATTCTCCCTCAGGCACAAATTGAAATCTTCTTTCCTCTGCTTCTCCGGCGACCATCGGCACGACGGTGATTCCTGCTACAGTACGCTTCATGCGCCCAAGTCCCCCCCGACGCCTTGCTCGCCCTCGTCTTCTTGCTCCTGGCGTAAGAAATCCCCCGCCGGCGACTTCTCCGATCACCACCGTGGGAGGAGTCGCTACCTATTGTCCAGGATTGGGTGGAAGCACCACCGGCGCGCCCAATCTGCGGACTTCAGCTACGACCCGTCCAGTTACGCCCTCAATTTCGAGGATGATAGCCGCATAGAGGGAGAGGACTTCCCCTTCAGGGGGTTCGCCTCCAGGCTGAAGCATTCGCCTCCGCAAGTGCTCGTGACCATGCCCAGAGAGATTGTTGGGTGTAGCTGAAATGCGATTAATTAAAAAGCTATTCAAGTATCAAGTATGGCATCAATTTAGCTGTTCATTATGTGTACAGAATGTGTGGATTCCAGTTTGTTGTATGCAAAATGGTTGCCGGCTTACACAAAGTCAGTGTGCAGTCTGGTAGACTTTTGTTTCTTGGGGAGTTTCGTTTTCAAGTCACCCCCAAATATAATACTGTAACATAACAATCAACAGTCTATTTCCTTGTTGTTCTGATTCTAATGTTTGTTTATGTGCTCAAGAAACTTGGGCCCTTGAAATCAACATTTTTTAGTACCGAGTTTTGGCGTTGAAGGGTAAAAGCAATTTCCCTCTCCCCCTGTTCTCCAATTTTACAGCCGGTTCATCCTTTACATGACAATGAAATTTAAATATTCTGCATTTAATAACCATATACACATGACATAATTAAAGAAAAACAACAGAATATGATATAAAGGTTCATGATCCTTTTTAGAAAGTGAACACAAATGTAAATAAAGTTAAATTATTGGAAGAGAAACAGATCCGAGTGACCGGTTAAACGAAAACAAATTGAGAGCCATGTCTTGAAGCGAAGAGAAGACTGAACATAACATGAGGCAGGAAGAAGCAGGGACATGATCGCAAGCATTCTAACAAGCTTTGTTGGCCAATGAGCCCATCCAGGCAGGTGGCTGCATTCCCGTTTGCTCTTGCACTGTGCTAAACAGAGGAGGCAGCATCTTGTACACACCCGCAACCTCCTTCATGGCCGTAGCGCCGTCCTTGCCGTGGTCGCCTTCCGCCGCAGTCCCGTTCGTCCAAATACTGATCTTGGGTTGAAGCCCACGAACTGCTTCGCCGTTGATCTTGGCCATCTCTTGAAACATGCCGCCGTTTATCATCAAGTAGTCCCTTAGAGCCGCATAATTACCACCCAGTGCATCAAGAAGACTTCGCAGATAGGTCCCTTGGGCTTGCCCAAGCGCCACAATTCCCTCTGCCTCCTTCATCTTTGCGTACAATTCTGCATCTGCTGCTTGTTTTCGAGAGAACTGAGCAGCCTCCGCCAACGATTTCTGTGCTTCTGCTTCTTTCTCTTTCTGGAAAAGGATAGCTTCTGCAGCTTTTTGTTTCTGGTACAGCCCCCAGTTTGCTTCTTGTACCTATTCCATGTTCAGCCAATTCAAAAGCCGTTGTAAGTTTCATATGTATAATGGTTTTGACTGCCCAATTAGGTAAATTATGTCCATGAAGAACTGCAATTTAAGAATGTATACTGCTATCAGACAAGTCTAATTCCAACGTGCTTTTAAGAATGATACATAGATAAACTGACCTTGGTTTCGTACTCAACGCTTGCTTTGGAGAGGAACTCGGCTTTAAGCTTCTCGGTCCTGGTCAAGGCGTTCATGGTCTCGACCTCCTTCTGCAACTCGGCTTCCCGGAGGGCAACAGCCTTGGCCGCCTCGACCTCGGCCACCTGAGCAGACTTAGCCCATGAAGCTTTCTTCGCGGCAAGATCTGCATTGGCCTCGGCCACCTCTGCCTCTCTCTCGTTCTCAAAAATCCTAACCTCCGCTTTCACCCTTATCTCCTCCTTCTGCCCCTCTCCTTGCCGCCGCGTCGCTATCACCTTCGTCTCCGCATCAATCTTGGCCGCGTTCTGCAGCGTCTGCCCTTCCCTTATCTTGGCTCCGAGATCTCCCTTCATCTTCGCCTCCGCCACGTCTACCCTCGCCTGGTTCGCCGCTTCCATCTGCGTCTTCTGCCCCAAATAAGAGAAGTATTCATGGCCACGCACGTCTACCAGTTGCTTCACGTTGGCATTGTAAATCAAAAGACCGAACTGGTTGAGCTCAAGCTGAACTTTCTCAAACACTTCCTTCTTGAACTCTTTGGTGCCTTTGAAGATCTGTTCCATGGTCATGGAAGCGGCGAGCACACGCGTCTCTCCCTCGATGACCCCCTGGACGAGATCGTTGACGTGGTTGGAGTGCTGATCGTGGGCAGAGAGGAGCCTGGCGTATCTGAGGAGGCATTCTGGGTCGTCGGACTTGGGGCCGATGGTGAAGACGGCGGGGAGCAGAAAAGGGAGCTTCTCGGCGCTCATGGCCTGTACTTCGAAGGTGTAGTTCACCGGAGAAACATCCAAGAGGGTGCAAGATTGCCATGGTAAAACCCATGATTTCTTGGCGATCTTGATGTCTTTGATGCCATGTCCAGTGATAGCCAGGTATTGTGATGCGTTCGCTACTCTGTACATGGCTTCGATTGACCTGGAGAAGAAAGATTGATAAAATGAAGGGCTTTTAACGAAGGAAGGATTGATGGGGATTCACTCCTGCGCGCGGAGGAATGGAATGTTATGCTATGCCTTCTCTCATGACTGGTTATTTATATAGTGATGCCCTTTCGCTTGGAGGAGAAATCAATAGCTTGCGGTGATCGTCATTTTGATAGTATTATAAGCTCATCGTTTCTCAATTATTTATATCTTATTCGGATGCTCTGGATTTGGTTTGTTTTTCTTTTTATTTGTTTAAAATAATTATTTTAATATGGATAAAATTTAAAATAAAGATAACATCTCAATTATAATTTTTTTTAAAAATAGTTTTTTCTATTTAAAAATAATTAACTAAAACTTTTAAATTAAAACTGTTCAAATTAGATATAAACTATTTAGATATGATGAATTCAAGGTACTTACTACTGAAATTGGTTTAGAAATCAAAGGCATGGGACAAGGAAAAAAAATAAGTCAAACAAATCTTTTGGTTAATATGTTTGGGATACCTTGATTGCTGAGCAAGTAATTAACTAGAAATGCTCATCTTGTGCCGATTTAACCCCCTTTTTCTACGGAATAAGCATAAAGCATCTGCGTATCCATGGTATTGATATATACATATACACACACACTCGCTTTTACGGGCCACCACAACCTTTTCTTGGGGACGGAGGAGGTGTAAATAAAAATACTAACTCTGATTCTAATTATAAGATATTATTTACAGGCTACAAACAAGGTTTTGTAGTTAAAGCCAGGGGTAGTATTGTTAATAGTAGCCGAGTATGATTTTATTATCTCCATTTTTAAGTAGTATCATCAACATAACATTCTAACATTCCACAAACTTATAGGCTTTTAGACGACATTATCATCGATTAACTGAATGAAACTTTTATCAGATTGAATGTCGCTACCTTTTAAGCTTTACCCAATACCCCACTAGTATCTAACGGTTCGTCTTTAATTTTTCTCTCCACTTCTTATCAATTTTAAATGGTTAGAATTTAATATCTCATATAAAATAAAAATTATGTAAAATAATTTAATAAAAGCATAAATATGTAAACTATTTTAGGTTGAATATTTCTTAATTTAAATTTAATTATATTCATTTTTTAATTTGACATTGAAATATTATTTTTATGGGACATTAAATCATAACAGTTCAAAGTTAATCTAATGGTGAGAACGAGAAAAAAAAAAAAAATTAGAGGAAAGCGGGGAGTTCCCCACCCCTATTCTTCATTGGAGGGATGTAACCAAAAAACAAAAAATCAGCTTTAAGGATTTGGTGGGGATCCCAACAAATTTAATTAGCAACATACAACAAAAACTAAAATATGAAACAATTTTTTTGCGTTTTGTTTGGGCTACCAATTTTGTTGTTGATAAATAAATCTGTAATTTCGAAACAACTAAGAAATAAGTTTCATTAAAATAAGTTTTCCAAGTCAGTCGCACGCAGACGAAATCACGAAACGATTAGGAAATTATTTTTGGTTGGGAAAAACAGACTTTTTAATATAAAAAATTCCAATTGTCATGAGAATAAAAAAATACAAAGGATTGAGACAAGAGAGATAAGAACGAGAAGAGAAAATTGAAAAACAAAATAAGGAGAAATTCTCATTCATTTCATTATCTCATGTATGCATAAATTATCTTCTATTTATAAAACCCTGACCTTAAAAACTAACTCAAAAGAGTTACAAATGCATATAAAACAGAATTAAGCAATATAATCATACAATACAGAGAATAAGTACAACAATTCCTTTAGTTCAGGGTGGAAACCTTTTTTTTTTGTTGTCAATAAAGCCTCATTCTTTGGTATTATAGACATCTATACATTTACAATACCCAGTCAACACTTATAATTCAAGATTGTTAAAAAAAAAAAAAGATTTTGTAATGTAAAATGAATTTCCAAGAAATCGACTTGGATTTTACGTGGCGCCTTGAAAGTTCAATATGAATTAAAAATGATTTATTCAAAACAAAGCCAATTTTGCAAGTTAATTTCCTTCGAATCCGTTTGGAAAGTTGTTACGTTTAGGGAAAAAATCTTTCTTTCTTCCAACATTCTCTTTTTGTTTATGCTCTACGAGAAAAGTCAAAAACAATCACATAAAAATACCACCACTGCTTCCTTGTTTGTTTGTTTTTTTTTTTACCAGCTATTATTTTTGCCCTGGCGCAATTGCTAGATTACAAAAAAAAAAAGAAAAAAGAACTAAGCAGCATAATCACATATTTAGTTCTACTGTCGTTTTTTGTTTTTGCTACCAAAATTATCAAACAACCCTTCAGTCAGAACATATTATGCGTGTGCGCGTGTATAATATAAATATGCCGCCACCCAGTCAAGTCAGAGGAAACTATACAATGTGCAGGTCCAGCCTGATGCATTACATCCCAATCAACTGGTAATTTCTCCCTAAATATGCCCAATATGATTAATCGTATACTCGTATTATAGAGAATGAATTAACAGACTAATTCTATGTAAGCTTCTCGCAAGTATATAAATGGAGGCAAATTCAGTCATATCATAGCTGGATAAAATGCTTGTGAAAAACGAAATTATTGATAAAATGAAAGAATTAGATCGTTAATCTAGTAAGTGACGTAGTTTATCTTACCCTAATAAAACAATGTGCTCTTTGTATTTATAATGAAACTCGTTTTTTTTTTTTCTGGAAAAACAAATCTTTAACGTGCCAACCCAGCTCTTCACTTGGTCACAATCCGCCTAGCTGGAAACACCAAACCATCTAATTTTAATATTTAGATGTTGGAATTTTATTATGGAATGAATCAAATCATACTTAAAAATCATTAATTATGGTCCTTCTAAACATGCACATTGACTATTGCCGCCGTTCGTTTATGCAATTTTGACAACCACTCGATTTCGTTATTTATTTATTTGCTTTTCCGGTCTTAAATATAAGATCTTTTTTGTAGTGTAAATTACACTATAAAAAGAGTCTTATATTTAGAACAAGAGAAATATGATTTATTCTGCGCACGTTGTGAACCTCGCCTCCTCCGATGACTTTGACTTGTAATTTGGAGGAGAGCGAAACTCAAACGAAAATCACATCAATTCGGTTGGTTCTGTTTTTAAGCGATTGAAATATAATTAACAAAATCAATTTCTTTTCCTTTAAAACATTTGTTTTTCCTCAACACAAGTCACAGATTTATGGGATGCTTTGTATGCAACTCACCTCAGACTTTATGTGAAGCACGGGCCTATAATCTAATTATTCAAATAATACAGGCTACCTTCTTTCGAGTTTTTTTTTTTTTTCATTACATGATTTTGAGTAAAATTGAAACAATCTTTTCCAGAGATTTGAACCAAATAGTTTTGGGCAGTCAAAGAGGTGGCCTACAAACAGAACAGAGTGGTGGCACACGCACTTTTCTTTTTAAACGTTTTTCAGTCTTGTGTATTTGCAAGGATTATTATTCATGTTTAATAAACAACGTATATTCCCTACGACCTTTATGAGTATGTTGATATTTAGACCTGGAAAAATTGGTCACACCGGCTTTATAAGGTCGAAATTTTAAAAATACCTCGATTTGTTAAGATTAGTTCTTAAACATACAGGCTTATGGTCGCCCCGCAGGCTTTCAGCCAGTTAAAAAAAATCTATTTTTCATATTTTTCATATGTTTTATCAAAAATAAAAATAAACCAATAAAATTACTAGTAAAAGACATAAATATGAATAAAATTAAGTCACAAATATAAAAGATCATCATATCTAAATGTGCATCAACATACAAAAAATCTAAAACATCCATTACACATAACAAATCAGTAATGTTAACATCGAAAAGTCCCATTAAAAGTAGAAAAATGTTTTCACTAAAAAAAAAAAAAGGACAAACACTATCATCACTATCATCAATTGTAAGAATATTTGATTGTACTTCACTAGTAATAGGCTCTTCTTACCTTCTAAAAATATCAATGATTTCTTTTCAATACTATTTAGCTATGCCGGAGTCTAATATGTCTTCCGTCTTTTTGAGTTGAATTTTTTGCCTACCAGTAAATTTATTTAAAAGTATCAATGTTAAGTTTGTTTTAGAGGTTTCAACTTAGCAACTATTGGGGATTGATTCTTTATTGTCTACTTATTATTTTCCACGATTACCGGAAGTAGTATTTTTTTTCTCAAGTTTTAATTGTGAAAATCACTTTGCTACACAGTCTTGTAAAAGGTTGAAATATCTTAGCACTTTAAATTAATTCATAGTATATTTTTAATGAACTAACTATGTCATCCTCTTTTTGCTTTTGTTTAGTCTTTTTTGGTTTTGTCTAGCTCACTTGTCTAACTCTATTTAAATATAGAATAAAAATTATAATACAGTCACTATAGAAAAAATGTTAACTTATTTATTAAAATTTTATAACATATATACAAATTGATATGTATTTGTTGGTTCAATCATTAAAATTTTTGTTTTAATATGGGAAATATATTTTGTTTATTTTAATATATAACGGTTGGTTCAAATAAATACAAATTTAAAATCCAATTTAGGATATGAAGAATATATTTTTATTTATTTTAATATCATTAGAGATTAAGGTGTGAGTTAAGAGTCAATGAAAGACTGAAAATAAAACTTAGAAAAGACAAGTGTGTAAAATGTTAAGAACTTGGATTAGAATCAAGAAAAAAATTATTGTTGATAGGTTTAAACGGGTTAGCCCGCAACCCTACAGGACCGACTTTTTTATTTTCAAGTCCTACAGGACTGACCCTTTTAAGTCCAAATTCTCTTTAAAAACCTCAAATTACAAACTTGACCCTTATCTTAAACGGTTTTAAATAGGCCACCTTTACAGACTAGACCCGTTTTATGGACTCTATCGATATTGATGATGATATGGTTTTAAAAGCAGATGAATAAATCAGGGATGCCAAAACTAATAAGCATATAATCAAAATAAAAGAAGTTTAAGGAGATCAACATTTTAGCGGATCAAAGAACAGGGAAAGAATTAAGATTATGAAATCAAAGGAACCGGATTGAGTGCGAGCAGCCCATCCATGGTGCATGTGGCTCACTGGAGATTGAGAAATCTACCTTCGGTCCTTTAGCGAATGAATTTGCCTGCACTTCTGGGAACAGAGAAGCCGCATCCGTGCGGAGTATGGCTAGAGAAAGGGTAAACAAGCAAACTCCAATTTTTATCTCTCATAGAACAATGGACTCCTTTAATTGGCGCTTGTAATGGAATGGATGATAATTCTCCAGGGATGGAACGGAGAAAACAAAAAAGAAAAAAAAATCAGAGGATCTAGCTTCGGAACGGTGGCCAGGTTTTCGTTCAGAATGGCTACGAGAGTTTCGAGGCAATTGAACTTTCAAACGCACGATCGCAATTCAATAGTGTTTGATAAAATCTGAATATCAACTAAAGCAAAACTCTTACAAAAAAATTTTCCTGTGAAGAAAATTATGAGTGGATGCGAACGTGAATGTTAAGAGCTGCCATCTCTAACACCCCACCCATTAACAGCATACAAACTCAGGATTACGCCCCAGTAAAAGCCTTCTTCACACCTCCAGAGGACCCAGCTGGAATCACTTTCAGTACATTAAACCTTACAGTCTTTGAAAGAGGCCTGACAAGAGGGAAAAATAATATCAAACCAGTTTATTATAATGAGCAACAGCAAACGCTGCATTTCGGAATACATCTTAACAGCTGGCCAGACAAGTGGCCAAGAAAACAAAAGGCGAAAATGTAACAGGATCAAGTGTCATATACCAACCTGCATTGCCCAATGGTAACATGGTCTCCCTCCTTCACACGGAAACATGGTGATATATGCGCAGCAATGTTTGAGTGTCTTTTTTCATACCTGTGAGAATCAAACCCACAGTAAGCTTAAAACGAAAAAACTTAAAAACAAAAACAAAAACTCAAGTTGCTGGATTAAATGAGCCTTCTTACCTTTGGTATTTTTTCACAAAATGAAGGTAGTTGCGGCGAACGATGATAGTCCTTGTCATCTTGGCACTATGGCAGGTACCAGCAAGAATGCGGCCCCGGATGGACACGGTACCAGTGAATGGGCATTTTTTGTCAATGTAAGTCCCTAAACAGACAAACCATGCCTATCAGTATCAAGAACAATTAATCAGACAAATAAAAGTTTTATCTCATCTTGTTGCAGCAATTCAAATGCTAGAAGAATCCTCAGTGGAGGCTGGAGAGATAAATATCCATTTAATAGAGGATTGTTCCAACCAAAATAGAAACCAGCGTATAAAAAATTAATTTCCATTTTCATGACAAATCATAACAAAATACTTTAGAGAATATAGCCATTTGAACTATATACTCCATAGACAGAAAAAAGTATGAGTCAAACAAACAAGTCAGGCTTTGAACTTATATCTACACCTCGAATTACATCAAGTTTGCAGATGTAAAATAAAGGCTGCATGGGAAATGATTTGGAGTAAAACTGGAAAACGGAAACAGCAAATTCAGCATCCGTGCTAAAGTCAACAACGCATGGTTATCATTAGCCCGGGAAACTTGATCTAGAGGGAAAATTTAAAATATAATATCTCCCAGTATACTCTAATCTCGACCAGAGATTCGACCCCTTTTATCATATGATACAAAAACTTCCGAATATTTACTTTGAACATATCACATTATGTCTAAAACGTCGGGAGCAAAACCTTCAATGGCTTCTCTGGGAGTCTTGAAACCCAACCCGATGCTCTTCCAGAATCTGTTCCCTCCTTTTCCAGGCCTCTTACCCTTTCCGGATTTCTTCGAACTGCAAAAATTCGCAGCACAAGCGTTAAGGTTGATAGAAAAAGGCAGCTGCTCAAGCTCAGCTAACAGATACATTGATATGAAACACGCTTAAATTTGTACGGTACGAGCAGAACCGATTTGATAGGTGAATGATGCAAGATACAGAGCTTTAAAATAAAATAAAATAAAATAAACTGAATGCAAAAGCATTAATATTCTTACCTGAGGAACACTTTAGGTTGCTTCAAGAAGGCCTTCTCTGTCTGCAAAGCGAGCAACAAGATGACCCTTTAGAAGAGAGTGAAACAATCACTTATAAAGGTAATAGTTCGACAGGGAGATCCAAACCTGTTCCGCCATTGTTATGGGGTAAGACGACTGATAGAAGCCGCAATAAAACACAGAACGCTGCCCTCAAAACCCTAATCCAAGCTCCGAGCAACCGAGGAAAAATGGCGGGTCACGGTTTTATTAGGTTATACGAGACATGGTATTACGAAATTACCCATTCATCCTTTGTGACTATAGGTGACTGCTTAAACTGAATTTAAAAATATGTATTGAGCTCCATTGTGGGGAAAATAAGCAAACAACTTCTCCCTTGAAACCTGAAAGCGCGGGGGATCAATGCGTTGGGCTTTGGACCATTGTGGGGAAATATGCTGTGGGCTTTTCTGCCCCGGTCAATGCTGAAAATGCAAGGGATTAATATGCATTGGGCTTGTGGGCCTTGCAGAGAGAATGCGTGGCAAATTAACATAGAACCATGAGGGGCTCAGCCCTCGTTCCTACCAAAAAAAACATAGAACCATGAGGGAGTCATGGGGTGCTGATGGTCATTGATGCGCGAAGGGTTAGGTTACGTATTTTGTTGTTTGGGGAAAGGGAATACAATTATGGGATTGAAGGTCAATAATGTTAAGAAAAGAGGAATCAGGATGGAGCGCGATTAGGTTAAAGGTGGAGTGGGGGTGATAGCCTTGGAGTTGAAGGCAAAGAATTGAATCACTTCGCCCCCCTGCTTTGCTTATTTTAAAACCGTTAATCATCATTAACACCGTCTCTCCATTGTTCGTATTACCGGCTTCCCTAACAAAGAAACTGTTGATCTCTCCGTAATCAACTCCAGCAGAAGCATTTATGTCTGCGTCCATGCTTGAGGTCTAGGTTATTTATTTGGACACTCCGCGCTTCTGGGTCAAGTCACTTCGCAGTTGGCCGGCTTAAAGCTTCGTTTTGAATTTCAAGTTCTGAACCTTCTTATAGAATACCGACTTTTCCCCCAAATCTCCATCTGAAAAATCACAATAAAAACCCATTAAAAGTCAAGCATCTAAGGCTAAAGGGAATTGCAGGCTGTGGTGGTTATTATTTCTTTACGAGTCTTTTTGGATGAAAACCAAACCATTATATAAAATAAATATTGAAAAAAAAAGTATTTTTAAAAAGCGCTTTTGAGAATATCCAAACATCTTTTGAGTATAATAAATTAAATCCGAATTTTTGATCGATCGCCGTTGTTTTGTAGGGTGAGGTTAGTCAGATGGGAAACAACAGGTCCAGAATTACAATAATTGCAAGACCCACCAACTCGAATTAGTCCAACAATCACGCGAGTCACATTAACCGGAATTGGTCTTCGAAACACGCATGAGGTCTTCCTCCACCAGAAGATTCTTCGAATATAATGGAGTGAAGCTCACAAATTCAAATCGGTCCCATTTTTAAAACAGTTTTCATTATTTTGAGCACGTATTCTTTAGTGGCAAAAAAAAAAACAACAAAGAAAGAATGCACCCGAGGCTTCCTTTCCTTTCCCTGGCTAAACACGAGGCTTTATTTGTGACGCGTGAGGTTTATTATCCTCAAAATCTACCTACAGCTTGTTATTCACTCATCACTTGTGTTTGTGTCAAGTGGCAACATTACCTACAAATTATCAAATTATCAAAAAATGTCCTTCGAAATAATGACTCTGTCATCCCCTCCCCACCCCCAACGGACCATGCCCACTCAAAGCGTACGTAAATCATGTTTAATTTATCACTTGTCATTTTATGATAGCCTCATGACAATTCGAGTGAAAATTACTTATTTTTGCGGGCCGACTTCAATGGCCACATGCAGCTCACGAGCATAAAACGCGCCCACTCACTCTCCTTTTTGATCCAATTATCAAAGACCGCGCATCAAGACAGTCAATGCCTATATAAAATTCAAATCCTCCATATTTGATATTCATCGTGAGGAATAGTTGCAATTCTCCTTTCAATAAACGACAGCTGCTGTGTTTTCTTTTCTTTTCTTTTTTTTAGTGGGTGAAAAGAATATTGTAGGTTAACAGCCACATCAAAATTAAATTATATAATCACGAAACAACATATTTAAATAAAAATGCAGGTCATCCACCAAATAAGATATCTAAAAAACCAAATGATAAACCGGTTTAAATGATTATATTATTATTAGTCTTATTTTTTCTCGTTCAACTTTTAATATCCCAATTATTATAAATTTAAATAAATTTTAATATTAATTTTGATATTAATGATTATTAATTTTAGTTACTGATAAATCTTAAAAATCAAAATTCTTAGTATTGTTTTATTTTGTTATTGTGACAATCAAACTATTATTTATTTTCTTGTATTTTTTTATTAGTGATTATTAATGTGGTTATATTTTATTATTTTTAATTAAAGTATATTATCTTAATATGATCAGTCTGATCTTAAATTAATCCTGATTTAACTAACTGTCTGTGAAATTAATACTTCAATCGATTTAATCGATTCAATGTTGATCCGGCTTTTCATGGCTCACCATGTAAGGAACTGAGGACGCCAGGGTCATTTTCGATGAAAATCAGGGACAAGGGCAAGCTTTCGGAAAGTTAGGAATGACACTGTAAATTACCGACAAAGAAGTAGTTTTCTGGGACACTCGCATTGGACCGTTTTCCCAAAAATTTTATACGTGGCACGCCGATGTGCGGCGTTTGCCCACTAAAAGCTGTGAGACGAAACCCTTCCAGCTTTTCATCGCGTTCAGTTGTCCACATCACACCAGCCGTTGGATTAGAATCCTAACCGAAACCCCCATCCCTGCTTTTTCGTCAAGCCACGTCTGACCAAACCCTCACTCAACCATGGTTAAATTAACCAAACCTGCTCCTTCTAGTAGGTCCAGAACACCCCTGCACTTGCCCTTAATCCCCATTCACCCTCGTCTGCAACCATCTATAAAACCGGCCTCAGAGACTCGCTAGGTTTGCCAAACCTACTCCCCAAAGGGGTCCTTTGAGGAAGAAGAAAACAGCCTTCTTTCCTTTCCTTTCCTTTTCATTCTGGTCTATATTTTCTCTCTCTCCCCTTTTCCCACCATTAATGGCTACGTCTTCGAGAACTAAATCAAGCGGACCTGTGCTTCGCTCCGGCTCGCCCTCGAGCAGATTTTGCTCATATTCCACGTCCAACACTCGTTTTTCTTCCCCTTCATCCGCTTTCGCTTCCTCTACCAGTTCTAGCTTTTCGTCCCCATCTTCCACCTTCTTCAATCAGACCCACCGTCAACAGCATCACTCCCAACATCGATCGGCTTCTCCTACTCGTGTCAATCTCTATACCTCCACCCCTCCTTCGTCTGCCGTCCGATTCTCTATTGACCACCGTTCCGTCTCTCCCAACAGATCTTTCTCCAGACAGGTCATCGCTAAGAAGAATCACCCCATTTCGGTTCAGAAGAGATCCTGTATGTGCTCGCCGACCACCCATCCCGGTTCGTTCCGTTGCAGCCTTCACAAGGGCATGGCCAGCAATAGCGGGAGCCATCACACAGATTCATACTCGCCCAACCGGCTGAATATGCGCAGATCAGCGATGAAGAACTCTCTTGTGAGAATCGGAGGAGTAGAAGGCGAGTGGGTCAAAAGGGCGCTGACCGCTTTGATCCGGCCTTCTTCGCATCAGCAGAGGAGGAGAGCGGCGTTTGAGCCCAGTCCAAGTCGTCTCTCAATAATGTCCAGGGCTGAGGATCTCTGATTGTTTTTCTTTACAGGTTCTTTCTTGCCTTGCCAGGGTTGTGGAATTATCTGGCTTCGCAATACGCGATCTGAGCCAGGATCCGGCGAGGAGGCTGTTAGATCGCGATAGCTTTTTGCGTGTCATCTCCGGCGAGTTTTGATTTCGTCGACTGGAGTCGTTGTGGGTCGATAGGGTTAAAGTGCAGAACATCATTGCAGACGGGAGCCGATGTAGAGTCGTCACCGGGAACCATGAAAGATTCCGGCACGGATCTATGAGACTGGATCCGGAGAATTCCTTATTGTACATGCTATTTGCTAAGGAAGGAGATCTTGGGACATAATTTTTCGCCAAATCAAATCTAAACACTTGAATTAACGTCACAGGCTAAATTTGGATGATTCCAATCGTATTAAAATTAAAACTATGGTCTTAAGGGATTGCTTCACTGTGAAAACTGTATCGACTAACTGCGCAAACCATCCCGTTCTATGCAGCGGTGTGGATCTGTTATGCTTGCCGTCACCGGCCCCGTCTCGTGTGATGGTTCCGTCGTTCTTAAGTCCTAACCCGTAGGGCGGTCCCGTCATCCGTGCCGCCGCCGACTCCGTTATGCCTCGTCAGGGGGGCTTGCGTTGCGTATGGTGCTAGGTATATTCGTTTCCCTTTTTCTTCTGTATGTTGGTATATTCTTTTCTATTTGATTTGATTGGATTTGATTTATTTAATTCGTTTAAATACGGTTTGGTTTTGCAGCTTTCCTTTGCAGGTACGACTTTGCGACTCCGACTGTGCGGCTAGGTCATGGGGCTGATTGCATATAAAAAAGACAAAAAAAAAAAAAAAGAAGAGGAGAAATATGATGACAAAATGACACTCTGGGCCCTGAGGACTGAGAGTTACCTTTATGAAAATTTAAGAATTTAAGAAATTTATAATAGAAGAATGAACTGAAACTTGAAGTCAAAGGATGTAAGAAATGATTCAAAACAAAACATAAAACAAGAAATAAGATATGAGTTGGGGCTCCTGCTGAAACGGAAAAAATGTCAGAAAAATGAAATTGACAGCTGGAGGTTTGAAGGAGCGGCCCCTCAAGTTGGATTTAAAGACGTCTATTGATTATTGGCGAGACAGCGCCACCTAGCTGCAACTGTGGCTGGTGAGTCGTCATTATGAAAGAACATTAGCATGTGAAAATGCCCCTAGCTGATGCCAGGTTGCATCCCTCAATATATATTAAAAATGAGAATTTTAAAATAGAGTTTAAATACCCAAAAATAAAACAAAATTATCATCCTATCAACATTAATCTAGTAGGGGTACTTAGGGTGTGTTTGGATTAGCGGTGGAGAAGTAACTTTTTTTTTAATCTGACTTTTACAGAAGTTAGATTGGATAAAAGCAGCTTCTTTGAGCTTATTGTATAAGTCCGTTTCAGTGACAGAAGTCAGATTACAAAAATGTGATTCCAAACACACCCTTAATAAGATTTATGATGGGGGAATGATTTATTTCTCTAGTTCCGCTCCGGTTGGAAAATATCTGGAAATTTCTAATGACTGAATTGACGCCTACGTATTGTAATTATTGGCCCAGTTAGTTTTTCATTGGACATGAAACGTAATAATAAATTCTCACCTGCAACTGGTACCCGCTTGCCAAATGCAGACTCAACTCAAATTCTAACGAAAGTAGCACCGGGAAACGGAGAGTTCGAGAGATGAAAGGAGTGATGAGCATAAATTCTGATAAATTCATGCTGATAAAAGATTATAGTGTACTTCATAACAATGTGTTTAACTAATGAAGAAATAAATTGGAAGATGAGGAGGAAGAAAGAAGGCATAAGAAGCTGCAGACGCCGTTGTCACAGGGGAAAAAAAAAACACAAGAAAAAGAAGCAGCTATGAAAGGGGAAGGGGGAGGAAGTATTCCGCGCTGCAACTCTCATGCATAGCCACTCCTCCTAACTGAGAGCGACTGAGCGGCATGACCGTGTCCTCACACGTGGAAACCAACCCCCCCCCCCCCAATTTTTTTGTCAAGTTCAAATTCTATAAAATACGCAGGTAGTATCGTTTTTAAAAGATCATGTGAAAAAATGTATAAACAATAAATCATACACATAAAAATTCGTACTCCCGTTTATTATTGCCTTTTCTTTTAGAGGGCAGCCTGCCTCGAGGGAATGGTGCGTGTTTTGGTCTCGGCTGTTGTCTGTAAAGCAGACTCCCCAGCCTGGACATTTGTGAGGTGCGGTTGTTTTGGGGTGATTTTCAAATGAAATGGACTTCGGCCTAAGCCTCTAAAACAGCATATTTGACCCAAAAAAAAACCTCTAAAACAACGAAAGCATTAAAGAGAGGAAAAAAGATCTGTGTCGTTCACACCAGTGACCGGGTCGAACAATTTAAATGAGAAGCATATGGCTACGAAATACGAATTGACATGGTTGTGGAGTTGCAAAGCGTAATTAAACAAATAAAAGCAAAGAAAAGGAGAATGGACACGTTGCCTCGTTTAGTGGCCGTCACCCTCTGAATTGATATTTACCCTTGGCCGCCGCCCTCAAATCCCATCCCCCCTGTTTTCGCACTCCAATGTCTAACTCGCTGTACACATCTTAAATTCTGATTCTCATTATTAGCACCACACGTTCAAAATCCATGATCAACGAGTTGACCTCCCCAGAAAAAAGTCCATTAACCTTTCTCTAGTCTTCAGACTGATCAATACACGTGAATGCCTAAGAACTTCTTCAGGTTAACATTTGTAAAACTAACTTTTATAAGCTGAAAGTGAGGTAGGAGTCAATTAGTATAAAGCAATTTACATCTAGATAAATTTTTTTTTATAAAAGATCAATTTTAAAATAAACTAGTTTAGATGAGATTAAAAAAAACTAGATCTGTTTAAAGCCTGTTTGTTTTGAGAGGGGGCAAGAAAAAAAAATCCTCCCCTTATCTGGGTAGAAATTTTGAAGGATCTTCCGTTAGTATGAGGAAAATAAAGATGGTATAAAATTTTTAAGAGTTTTGTTTAAAAAAAAATTTGAACAACAGAAGTGGGGTTGAAGTTAGAAATCATAAAAAATTGCTTCAATTAAAGTCATTTTTAGTGAAAAAAATTTAATTATTTCAAACGTATTTTTTGATTCCAAAAATCAGTTTTCATGGCCGAAAAAGCAAACTCCAAAATCTTTAAAAAGAAAAAAAAAGGACCAATCACGTTGCCCGTTCTGGATTGGTCATCAAGTTCTACACCAGTTTGGGCCACTAAATCTGTCACCCATACGCTCGATGAATTCTGGCCCGGTTCAGTTTTCATTTACAGCGACGACGCCGTTTTCCTGTGATTCACTAGACCTAACCCCACCTTACTCCTCCTCTTGTTACCTGCTACCTTCAGTTTCCTCACCCGGCGCTTTTGCTTTTCCTTCGTTGCCTCTGTTCGGTCACACGGCATGCCTTCCTTCTCTTCTCTTCGCACTTCCTCTTCAGCTACCCGCCAAATCGTAATCCGACGGCCCCTCTTCCGTCTGTCTTCAACCGTACCATCTTCTTCTAATCATTCCTCTTCCTCTTTACCCTTGCGGATCAATACGTGCAACTATGGCTCTGATCAGCAACACGTTGCGGCTTCTGGGTCCTTTTTAAAGTGGGTTTCGGCCATTGCATCAGGCTCGGCTCTTGGGATTCTGTATTGGTTTTCTCACCCCAATTTCGATTCTGATTTCCTAAGGAGATCATTTTCTTATGCGGACTGTTCGACGTCGAGTACCGAGAGCGATGCTAATGCCGGATGGCGTAGAACACGCTCGTTGTTTAGAAAATTATGCTTGCCAGAAAGCACTGATCATTTTCTTTTTGGAGGTAAGTATCTAATTTTTATTATCGCTGTCTGTCCTTCATCATTCTATCCTGAAGTTAATTGTTGCAGTGGATCCAATTTTGGAGAAACATTACATTAAGATTTGGTCTTTTAGCCTCTTTGCTTTTGCTCGCACAGTTATGCAATAAAAACATGTTTCTTGCAGATGCATACAGAAGAAAGGTTTTCTTCAACTATGAGAAGCGCATTCGGTTGCGAAGTCCTCCGGAAAAGGTATTTTGTGCTAGTATCTTAGCTTATCATCTTGTGTTTACTCAATAAAATCGTAACACTGCACAAGTCTTTCGTTTTTCTTAATGCTTGCATATAGTCAGCTCATGGTAATTTACCTAACGAGTAGTATTTTCTGAGAATATGCAAATTGGCGCCCCCGTATCCCTCTCTGAGAAGACTACAAATTTGTTGAAATCCTTTAGCGCCGCTTCGTTCTTCCTTCTGTAACGTTCCCACTGACTCACTGGAATTCAAAAGTTGCTTCGAACTGTCGATTATGTAATTATTCTCTCATTATTCTATTCCATTTTCCTGTGACATTAAATCACAAGCCATCTCACGATCGTTCTGATTTTTCCTACATTTCAACATGGTCTCGGAACACACAGTTCTTATACCCCTCTGTTTATATTAGGTTGATTGAGAGGTTACCCTAATTGATTAAGATTTCAGTCTTTCACTTTCTGAAGAATACTTACTTCATTTGCAATCTCTATCATTTGTATTAAGGTCTTTGAGTACTTTGCGTCTTATCGCACACCAGAAGGAGAGTTACTCATGAAACCATCTGACCTGATGCGGGCCGTTGTGCCTGTCTTCCCTCCTTCTGAATCCAAACTTGTAAGAGATGGATACTTGAGAGGAGAAAGAAGTCCTGGCCAGTTGCGCTGTCCTCCTTCGGATTTTTTTATGCTGTTTGATGTAAACAATGACGGGCTTATATCTTTTAAGGAGTGAGTGGTTTTAGTTATGCATTTTAGTTTATTTTTGCCTTGGTAAATATCTTTCTCATTTTCCCTATGCTTTTGTGTATAATTGCCCTCTTGTTTCTTAAACAGGTATATCTTTTTCGTAACCCTACTCAGCATCCCAGAATCAAGCTTCTCAGTGGCTTTTAAAATGTTTGACGCAGATAATAATGGGTCAGTCATCAGTGTTTGTCCTAGCTTCTTTGAATTACATATAACTTAGTTTTTTGGCCATATATATATATATATATATATATATATAACTTAGTTGATATGATGTGGTAACAGTCTTAGTCAGTTTAATGTTTATTGTGATGATTTATTTCTTGCGCCAAGACCTCTACAGCTTACTTGAGCATCACCCTATATTCTGTTTCTGATTTTACTGTCTGCTGAGCATGAGGACATTGCTCTGTCTATTTACGATGGCATCAAATTTAATGCTACAGTGATGTTTCTTAATCCACAGGGAGATAGATAAGGAAGAATTCAAGAAAGTGATGGCATTGATGCGATCTCATAATAGGCAAGGTGCTCACCACAAGGATGGGTGGCGAACTGGCCTCAAGGTCAACGATTCTGTAGAAAATGGTGGGTTGGTGGAATACTTCTTTGGCAAAGATGGAAAGGACCGTCTCCAACACGATAGATTCATACAATTTATGAGAGAATTGCACAATGAAGTAGGTCTTCAATTTCTGCTTTCTTGCAAGTCATTACTGGGCTTGGTTTATTTAAATTTAGTAAGGAGTGCAAGACAGTATAATAATTCTTATTGCTGATTCCTGGAACATCTGTCAAGCCAATGATGATTAAAAATGGTTATCCGTGGCTGATTTTTTTCTTTTTAACCTATTTTTTGTGGTCTAGTTGTTTCATACTTGAGTCATCAAATGTTAGTTGTGCCAGAGGAAGTATGGAAAGACAGAAACTACAGAACGAAGTTAAGAGCCAGGATTAAGAATAAGCTGAACAAGAAAATTAGCAGTCTTAGGTCTTTGATCTGTAATATATCATTGATGGCTGAATACCTAGTCCCAAGGGCCGGCTGATAGCTGACCGAGCCTGTTTATTGTTTCTAAACTTGGCCAGCTAGTCAAACGAACTACTTAATGTTTTCATACGAGCATAAAAACACATTAAAGTTACAATAGAATGTAATTAAGCAAATCACTCATGGCATGAAATGGACTGTGATCAGTCTTCATGAGAGACTTGAATGGTGATTGACGTTGCCCTTACAGGCGCCCTAGTTACAAATGTTAAAGAAATTGCTTGAATTCTTTGAATATTTATGATGCATTGCTTATTTTTCATATCATTATAATAGAATATAATACAGCCTTTTGTTGTTAGGAGAAAATTACCATATGTAGGCTCTGATAGTCCTAACTTTTCTAACTTCCATTTTTAAGTTCCTTATTCATGTGTAGTGCGGAATTAAGCCTCCAGATTAGTTTTCTCTTGTTAGTATGTTTGTGATATATGGTGGCTGTATTCTGGGTTTTCATGCTAGAAAGTTTTGATCTTGAAGAGAGCAAGGTGCAGGTATAAAGAAAGTGAATTGAATTCTGCTTCCATTAATGTCGATGCTAGTTAACTTATGATTTAAGTGGATTGCAGGTAACTTGAAATGCATGATTCAACAGGACATCTATTGTGTGTGGATTTGAACTCCTATAAGAAACTCATACGTTGAGGACTCTTCTTTTCTGTTTCCAGAGAATTTTCCTTGGAAATTATTTTGTACAAGTAATAATTATAAAATTTTCTGTAGATTATAAGGCTCGAGTTTGCTCATTATGACTACAAATCACGGAAAACCATATCAGCCAAGGACTTTGCGCTCTCCATGGTTGCTTCTGCTGACATGAATCATCTAGGCAGGTTGCTTGACCGGGTTGAAGAATTAAGTGATGACCCATGTTTTAGAGAAGAACGAATTACGTTTGAGGAGTTCAAAAGTTTTGCAGAGCTTAGGAAAAAATTGTTACCATTTTCATTGGCCCTCTTCAGTTTTGGGAAAGCAAATGGTCTGCTCACAAGAGATGATTTTCGACGAGCTGCATCACATGTATGATTATGATCTTTGATTTCTTACTAGTATTAATAATGATAATCAGATTTCCTTTCTGCCAAAGCTTTCGTTTTTCTTTGGGTAAAAGTTCTGTTTTCTGTGTGCGCGCTGCAGTGTTTTAACTCATCTTCATTAGTTTAAGGAGGTGCTTGCTATCGAAGATTGAGTAATCTTTTATCCCTGGATTTATTAATGGGACTGAGAACTTGAAACTGAATTTGATGCGTTTTAAAAATAGAGTTTCTTCTTAAGTTAGCTGGAAAGAAACACATTTACATTCTAGATTCTTTTTCAAACCTCAATATTGGAGGAAGTTCTTGATAATGATAGTCTTTACTACTACATCCTCTGGTGCATTTTGACAATTGAGTTCTTATTTCTGATCATGCATCTTTAGCCGCCTATCATCCGTCTTGACGATTTTTTTCCTCTAATTTAAATTATTTGAGTGTGGTCAAAAAATTACCAATCACCAACTATTCCTTATTGGTCGATTGTTGTTTCCCAGGTTTGCGGCATATCTCTGTCGGACAAAGTGGTTGACATTGTTTTCCGTTTGTTTGATACTAATCGGGATGGGAACCTGAGTTGTGAGGAGTTTTTGAGAGTCTTGCACAAGCGAGAAAGAGACGTCGCTCAACCCTTGGAGGCTGGAGTACTGGGTTTCTTATCTTGCTGCCGGCACTGTGCAGATAACTTGTCACTTTCTCGTCTGCTTTCCTGATGCCGCCTTGGTTTGTATCTACCCTCAACCTCAAGCCAGTAGACGTTCGATTTATGACAGCCTTGTGTCTAAGTATATTGTAAAATCAATGTTTGTCACTTGGCTGGTCGCCCCAGAATCTGCCAGACTGCTGTTGCTAACGCTTTTCCTGTCTGATATCTCTACCTTTTCACCCTGTAAATACTGCTACTCCGGTTTTAGATATAAAACCCGTTTTATAATGTACATCACACTGTAAAATAGGTCTATAGTGGAGGACTAACTTGTAACTTCTTAAGAAGTGCAGACTTGCAGTTAGCTCCCATCCCAATTTAGGTGCATTCCTCTCTCCCTCTTGCAAGGGAATTATCCTTTTTATTCCTATATTATTCTTGTTTTACTAAATATGCAAATAAAATAGCATTATCATTTTATTTGTATTTTAATTCTCTTTATATTTTTATAGTAACATGTCTTTTTGTGTCAAGGAGCTGCTATTTTCCCCTGTTATGGAAATACTATTTCGTCTCAATCTCATGCAATACGACCCCCCCTTTTTTTCCCAAGTTCGTGAAGTGTCATTTTCCTTTTGACTTTCTAATGTTATCCACATGTCGCGTTTTAAATACTTCTTATCCTTTTATACAGCATGAACCAAGTAACATTATTTCAGAACTTTGTCTTTGTACCAAGCAATGTTGGTTTAAGTGGAAGGGATATGAACACCTTAAACATCGTGTGTATGGAAAAAAATATTATTAAGAGGGGTCCTTATCACGGTATCTGACAGTATTTTAAAAGATTAGTCTTTGATCCTTTAAGTGAGAAGATATTCTGGGCAATAAAAAAAAAACTGTCTTTTTCCTGGGCAAGATATTTCAAATTTGTGTTCAATTTTATGTGTAAATATGTGGCAGAATATAATCATTTATGACAATTAAACTTGTGAATATAATTATAAAGAAATAGATGTACCAAAGTGCAAACAGCGCTAAAATACATATGATATATCCAAACTAGAATTTTAGTACATGATATATCCAAGCTAACTGATTCAAATTTACCTATGGTGCTAAATTAATTTTTTTTTGTGTGGGTATGGTAGGTTTTTAGTGTTAATACTTAAAAAAGACATCTTACATGTCGCAGGAACAAGGTACAGTGTGGGAGTATCCTATATATAGGACCGTTATATCCGTTATGGTGGAGAAAATTCAGAGTTTTCTTGCCGCTCTCGTTAAGGCGCGTAGGGATGGAGTCCCCAAACAGCGAGTCAGCGACTAGGTCGACGTTAGAGCGTAAAAATTTACGCGCCATCTTGGGAAGTAGATTTCTTCGAGTTCTTGAGCCATCGTTAACTTATGCGAAAGCGTAGACATTGTCCTTGCCATTCCACTGCAACGTCGGACGCCGCTCTGTCCCTCCTTTCTCCTCTCTCGATTCTCATTCGAGAGGGAGCATTTGCCTCTGCAAAATTGCGGTTTTCTTCTGAAATCTACGTTTCTCCCTATGTCACTACCTTCATCCTGATTCTGAACATCTTCAAAGGTGTGGCAGGATATTGGAAAATCGTATATCGTGATTGAGATTGGAATTAAATAAATCATATAACTGCCGATCTTGTTTTTCTTAATTCTTACGTTGATCATTTTTGCTTCTTGCATATTTTCGTATCTTTCAGTTATTGCTATATTTTTCTGGGACTGTACGGTAAATTTTGATCTTGAAGGCAGTCGTCCTTCCTTATTTCGGACCAATTGCTAAATTATAACATGGGGAAGCCCGCCGGAAAGAAGAAGGATCTCTCGGACCACAAGGCTACAAATGCAAACGGCAAGAGTGGCAAGCTCTCTGAGCGAACCCCCAAAGCTATTGTTGATGAAGACACAGCTATGTTTATCAACATGTCTCATGAGCTCAAGGAAGAAGGTAACAAACTCTCTCAAAAGAAGGATCACGAAGGCGCTATATTGAAGTATGAGAAGGCCCTCAAACTCCTTCCAAAAAACCACGTAGAAATTGCGCTCCTCCGAAGCAGTATGGCTTGGTGTTATATGCAAATGGGTCTGGGGGAGTACCCCAAAGCAATCAATGAATGTAACTTGGCACTAGAAGTATCACCCAGGTACAGCAAAGCTCTGTTGAGAAGAGCAAAGTGCTATGAAGAGTTGAACCGTTTGGATTTGGCTTTGAGAGATGTTAGTAATGTTTTGAGTTGGGAACCCAATAACCTTACTGCATTGGAGATCCTGGAGAGTTTGAAAAAGACAGTCGAGGAGAAGGGCCTCAACATTGATGAGCAAACGATTGGTTTGACTAGTCCTGGTTCTCGCTTGCGTAATGTGGTCAGAGAGAAACTAAAGAAAAAGAAAAAAAAGAGAGAGACAGACAAGGCAGAGGATAAGGTTGTTGTTGAGGAGAATCTAAGTGCTGCAAAAACTGAAGAAGTGGTGACAAAAACAATTGATAAGGAAAAACTGATTGTGGAACCTGTCAAGGAAGAAACAAAGGTAACAAGGACGGCCAAGTTGGTCTATGGAGAGGATATAAGGTGGGCACAGTTGCCTGTGAATTGTAGTCTGAAATTGGTAAGGGATATTATTAGGGATCGCTTTCCTGGCTTGAAAGGTGTTCTTGTGAAATATAAAGATCAAGATGGTGACTTGGTCACAATCACTACCACTGAGGAACTAAGGCTAGCTGAATCTTCCGGTCATGTGCTAGGCTCGATTCGACTCCATATCACAGAAGTTGATCCAAGCCAGGAACCACCTTATGAAGAACTAACCGGTGAAAAACAGGTGCGAACAGATGATGCTATCAAGCGGAATTGTCCTACGGAAGAAGGCAAAGATATTGTAACAAAAAGGACGACCACTGTGGAGGAGTGGATTGTTCAATTCGCAAGGCTGTTTAAGAATCATGTTGGGTTTGATTCTGATGGATATTTGGATCTTCATGAGATAGGAATGACGCTGTATACAGAAGCAATGGAGGATAGTATAATATGTGATGAAGCTCAAGAACTTTTTGATATTTCTATAGATAAATTTCAAGAGATGGCTGCTTTAGCAATGTTTAACTGGGGGAATGTTCACATGTCCAAGGCGAGGAAGCGTGCTTCCATTTCAGAGGACGCGTCAAGAGAATCTTCTTTCGAGAATATTAAAGCCGCATATGAGTGGGCACAAAAGCAATACAAGCTAGCAGAAAGGAGGTACGAAGAAGCTGTGAAAATCAAACCAGACTTCTGTGAAGGTTTTCTCGCTCTTGGGCATCAACAATTTGAACAAGCAAAGCTGTGCTGGTACTATGCAATCGCATGCAAGAAGGATCTTGAATCAGGGCCTTCTGATGAGGTTTTACAACTCTATAACAAGGCAGAGGACAGCATGGAGAAAGGCATGTTGATGTGGGAGGAGATGGAGGAACAGCGCTTAAATGGACTGTCCAGATCAGAAAAATATAAAGCTCAATTGGAGAAAATGGGTTTGGATAGCATTTTCAAGGATGTTTCTTTTGATGAAGCTACAGAGCACGCTGATAACATGAGGTCACAGATAAATCTTTTATGGGGCACTTTATTGTATGAACGTTCTGTTGTAGAATACAAGTTAGGCCTACCCACATGGGAGGAATGTTTGGAGGTTTCAGTTGAAAAATTTGAACTTGCTGGAGCTTCTCAAACTGATATTGCAGTTATGATAAAAAATCATTGTTCCAATGTCACAGCACTGGAAGGTATAAAAATATGGGAAGTAATCCATTATGTTTTATTCTTCATGATGAGAGATGGCTAACGAACAAATTGACATGATTACAGGTTGGGGATTCAAAATTGATGAGATAGTACAGGCGTGGAACGAGATGTACGATGCTCAAAGGTGGCAATTTGGAGTCCCATCGTTTCGACTTGAACCACTGTTTCGTCGGCGAGCCCCGACACTCCATTACTTGTTGGAGCAAATTTGAGCTTTTTATTTGTTCTTCTTGTGTTTGGGATTGTCCTGAGGCATCACTAATTGCTTCTAGTTTTTGTCCCTCATCCGATTTTTCAACAGGTAACTAACTAGCGTAAAATTTGTACTGCTGCGTTATGCTGACTTCTCATGGCAGAAGATCCTTTAATTATTTCTGAAAAGCTGTGTCAGATTCAGTGGCATATATGCTCAGAATGGACGTTCTTGCTTCTTTTATTGCATGATCTTTTCCTCTGCACTGCTTTGTTTAGCTCATTGATGGGGTTGGATTTTTCGTCCATCGTGTGCGAAATTCGTAAATAAGCAGCTGGGATCATCCCCATTCATGCAATGTACTCAGAGAGATACAAAAGGGCTAAAACAAAAGGCTTTACCTAATCACGAGACATGAGTTTTATATATAATTATACTCCGGTGTTACTCTTTCTGAGTATACTTTCTACATTCACCCTGCAACTGGAGAGAATTAAAGGCCTAACAATTATAAGGGCAAACATTATCTAATTGTCATTTGATTTGCTCAGTTTGCAGGCTGCTTGTTGGAGATTAGCGGATAATTTATGTTGCTGTATTGTCATTTTGTTAATAGCATGTTGCAGCATATTTCCCTGATTTCAGACATGTTTCACTTTCTTTTCTTGTTTGGTGTCTTCCAATTTCAGGTTGCAATTTTTTTGTGTTATTGTCGTCCCCGGAGGGTGATGTTGAAGATTAGTCAAATCTGCGCACCTCCTCTTGAATTATGTCTAAATCTTCTGATTTCCTTGGGCAGGTTCTATATCAGATATCACTGCTCATTGGTTGATGCTTCTTGAGAGATAACTATGTAATTTTTAGAATAAAAAAGGAGTAGTTTTCACGTGCACAGATTTTACGCTACGTAATTTTGTTTACCCTCCTTCTCGCTCACCCTGTACACAGGAAACACAACATAAGATCACTTTTTCATTCTTTTATGTTTCTATGATTTGGTAATTGGAACACTTTCCTCCACAGAGTTAAAAGGGAGCTGAAGTGAACTACCGATAAAATGTGGTTCTCACGGCTTAAGTTTGAATGAACGGTGCTGGCCTCGAGGAAAATTCACTTTTAACACAAAAATTTATATTAATAGGTTTTTAATGTGCGCTTTAGAGAAAGAGATTCAATGTTAAAGTAGATCCTTACTGTTTTCTACATATAAAAATGGCATATATTATAACCTCGATATATTTAAACTCACAGTTCCACACTTAGGGGGAAAAAAAAACGTTTGATGTCATTGAGTTCTAATATTATAGCAAACATAGCTTAGTCGTGCATTAAATAATAATAGTTGGCAAAGAAAAAAAAAAGAAAAATTATAATAAGAGTAATCAACCCACATACACAAAATTAAACATAATTAAAACATTTAAACGCAGAAAATACTTTAACAATAAAATTGTTAAATTATCTGATGATTTCACCAAAGTTTTAGATTTATTTTGGATTAATTTTTAAAAAATAAATTTATGACATATGATAAAGAAGTTTTGTCTCTATTCATATAAATTTTTGATAAATTATTGGGGCATCCAAACGGGCAAACTCCCCTAAATAGAAAAAAAAGCGAAAGAAAAGATTCTTATTGATTGGATAGTTTTATAATCAGTGTCTTAATATAACATAATCTAGAAGCTGCAGACAATATGTGTGTGTGTAAATTATTAAATATTAAATATTGATCTTGATCTCTCTAATTAGATTCGATAGATTGGTATCCTTAAGTTTATTCACATGACGTGACCCCAGGGGCAAGGGCAGAATAACAGAAGGTCGGGAGTTGAGACTGTAACTTGCTCTAGTTTTCCAGGCAAAAGGTAATTCTGTTCGGAATAAATAAATCATAAAATCGCCTATCTCCAGATTCTTTTAATCTTTTTAATTGCTTTAAATATAGCTGCCTTGTGTTGCAGAATTCGGAAGGCAACTAAAGTGAACTATTCCACTCTTTTCTCAGAGGATCCGAGCTTGGCACCTTCTGAGAGTGAGACCTTGGAGGGACTCAATCATTAGGCCTTTTAGGGTTTTTTCGTTTCTCTCAGTTTTCTTTGCCCAACGCAAATCTCCAATCATGGAGAAGGTCAGGAGAGCATCTCATGCCGGTTCTTGGTACACTGATAATCGTAAGTCTCCGAGTTTTAACACGATCCTTCCCCCGTCTCTCTTCATCACATGCATCGGAGGGACCAGAGTACTAGTGACTAAAAAAGGAAAAAAAACTGAAGTTTGACGGTCGTAGATGAGCTAATATTCTGTTACTTGTTTGATTTTGAATGAAAGACCGATGCTTTAACCTGTTGCGATAGAAATTGGTAATACGGAACCTGATGAATTTGCTGAGGCTAATACTGATCATGTTGGAAAGTGTGCTTCCTTTTGAATTATTGTCTTGGGTCATCTAGTTGGTTAAATGCAGCATGACCTTATCGAGGTCTGAGAATGCTCGGTTGATTATTTGCAATTTCTGTAAACGTCCCGGATGCTAATTAAACCGGCTTTAGAATTCCACTGGTGAAGCTCTTGAGAATCTCGGGGCTCTCGGCTTTTAATGAAGCTCCTAGATTACTCTATGTTGGTAAATTTGTCTGACAGCAACATTTGTTCGTACTTTCGTTTTAACTTTTGTCTGTCTTTATTATCACTTGTTCAGCTAAGCAGCTATCGGACGAGCTTGATGGATGGCTGAGATCATCTGGTCTGACCAAGTCTCCTGACGTACGAGGAGTAATAGCACCGTAAGCTTCTACGCTTTAGGCATTTTCTCCGCTGTGATATGAATTGATTCTAATTGATTTCCTTTTCAACCTTTGGGTGCTCCCAAATGTTAGACATGCAGGTTACTCCTATTCGGGGCGAGCTGCTGCTTATGCCTTCGGAAACATAGATCCATCTAACATGTGCGTTTTGTTTTTCCTTGCTCCTTTGCTTCATTTGATACGCTTTCTGGGATTTGCTTCCCCCACGTACCGTGCTGTTCAATGTTCACTAGTTAATTTCTTCTATTTTAAAATTTCAGCACTCGGGTGTTCCTTCTTGGTCCTTCTCACCACTATTACACTACTAAATGTGCTCTTTCTGTTGCCACAGTCTACAAGACCCCCATAGGGGATCTGCCTATAGATTTGGAAGGTAATTTTGAAATTCTTGTGTTTGGATCATTGGTAATTTTTGTCTATATGTTTCATTGTGTATGATTAAATTTCCATAATTACAAAAACAGAGGTGATATGTACAAGTTAATTCAATTTGTCGAGATATTAGTTTTTGATCCACGGGTTATGAAGATGTGAGGGATAGTTGAGTCATGTTAATGAGAGTGAGGATGTGGTCCAAATTTCAATTTAATTCTGACTTCGTCTACATGTTGCTCAAATTAATCTGTACTATTTTACCAGTAAATGAGGAGCTTAAAGCGACAGGAAAATTTGAACTGATGGATATTCGTGTTGATGAGGCTGAACATAGCATGGAAATGCATTTGCCATATCTCGTCAAAGTATTTGAAGGGTAAATTTTTCATATAGATGCTTCTGTTCTGAAACTTTGCAACAAAGACTGAATATGTCATATTGATGCAGGCATCAGGTGAAAGTAGTACCCATTCTAGTTGGCGCTCTTAGTGCTGAGAATGAAGCCTTGTATGGGCAAATACTTGCCAAATATGTCGATGATCCGCATAATTTCTTTTCCGTGTCATCAGATTTTTGTCACTGGGGATCAAGGTATGTACTGCTTACACAGACAATTTCCTTTTGTTTCCTTATGTCTTGGGACTAGGGCACTGTTAATTGTCTGAGATGCGGCAACAAACGCTGACAGACAGATAGACTGAGACATCTATATACAATTGTGTACAAAGTGAATACTCTAAATCTAATTTCCTTGGTTACATCCTTTTGTGCTGCACCATTCCATAGATATAATGCTTCCTTGTTTTCTTTGTGAATTGGTTCTCTGACAATGCGACTTAATTTTTATATTTTACTGGTAACAAGGCTTATGTAGGTATTTTTTAGTGATTTAATGATATCTTATAGGTAAAAACTCGAGGGTTCTTTTAGTGATATGATGTTTTATACTTTCCAGTCATTAGGGTTATAGACTTATAATCTGCCTCTATTTTGTCATTGCCTATTACGATGCATGGCAGTAGTCACCAAGCTGAGACGGGTTGATCATTATTTGATCTTAACCTAGGTGGTTCATATAGTCGTCATGAATTTGACCCCTGCATGCTGACTGTTATTTTGATCAGATTTAATTACATGTATCACGACAAGGAACATGGACCTATATACAAATCTATTGAGGCCTTGGACAAGATGGGCATGGACATTATAGAAACAGGAGATCCAGATGAATTCAAAAAATATCTTTTGGAGTATGACAACACAATCTGCGGACGCCATCCGATTAGTGTTTTTCTGCATGTAAGTGTATTCTTAATTGCTGCAATCAATCTAGAGCTTTTGGCAAATAACAATATTATTATTGCCATTGCCATTGCCATTGCCAGTGACAATTACTCGCTGCTACTCCGAATTTGTACCGTCCAGATGATTCTTGTATTGTGCACGACGAGAAGCAAAACTATATGCAAATTTGAGAAGTTCTTCTCTATCCATATTGTGATAAATTATTAAAACATGCTAGGAAGATAAAGAAAGGACGTTGGTAAATGAATTACTTAGTTGGATTTGATGCCTGGGAGTTATTTTATGATTTGGTATCTTCAGCAGTAATAATCATTCCCATTTGAAACACACCAATTGGTATTTGGTAGTCCATTTATAGGTTGCAAGGTAATAAAAATTAGTATGATCTGCATATCTAAAGATCTAAAGAACTGGGTCAAGCGCCAACTGTAGTGTTCCATTTTAGTGTTAGTTGAGAAATTTGTCTACAGTAGAGAATGCGATAGCAAATAGGAATTAGCCATTAGAATAAGAAATAATTGAGTCGCTTTAGTGATGTTATTAGCTTTCAAAAGGTCGGAACATTGTGACTATAGAGCTAACAACGTTATTTTACGAGATTTGATTTGAACAAATAGTGAAGCATTTGTACTTGTACGAGGTTTTTTTGGGGAATGTGTGTGTGTATGCATGTGTCTCTGTGTAAAACTAGCTGCATGCCACATCAGATCAGTTTCTCGTTGCTAATATCTTTTTTCTTGCTAATGTCTTGCAACTGAATCAGATGCTTAGGAATTGCTCAACAAACATAAAAATCAAATTCCTTCGCTACGAGCAGTCCAGTCAGTGCAAAACTACGAGGGACAGTAGTGTTAGTTATGCATCTGCAGCAGCAAAAGTTGATGGGTCAAGCTCTAGTTGAACATCTCCATTGTCCTCTGATTGTCATTAAGCATTTAATTTTCCTAAGTTGACTATTTATACTTTTGTTCAACACAACTGGATATTTGGTTTCTGCTTCATAAATTGCCAGCACTAACATATATTGCCAAAGCTGTTAATCAAAATTTCCTTGGTTTACAATCCTTGGTGGCGTCTTAAACTACTCATGCGTAGGCTGTGTGGCGGTTAAAGAAGCTTAGCGCCTTTCCTCGAGCTTTCAAGGATACAACTGATTAAATTCACCTCTTTGAAAACAAATATATCTACGCCAGGATAAATCAAACTCGTTCCCCCCCCCCCCTTTTTTTTTGTGGTCCTGCAACAGCAACTTAGGGCAGTGTTTGCTGTTGTTGCTGCTTCATTAGAGATATCAACGATTATAAGCACGACAATGCCACTCCTAAAGAAGGCCACTTAAATGTAGAAATTGTAGTGAAGACTCTTATTAAATCATGCTTAAATTCTTTGCCCAGTGCGGGCTATGATATTCAAGAAAAAATAAAATGCCTCAACATGTTTATAAATTATAGCTCGCTAGTCGCTGATTATTGAACAAGACAACTGCACCAGGCTCACGACACTCGTATCAATAGATTATCTCTAAGCCAAGTGAGCAGTTGATATAAGCGTGCCAACCTTCTTGTTGCTTCTTCCAAAATCACAACTTCCATTTCTCCATTTTTGTTGGGGATGTTAAGTAATGGATGCTGATCTTGACTCTTAATACCTCCTCAAGGTGCAGCAGTCTGCTGTTCTTGAAGTGAAAGAGGAATGGTGGGCCTCCACGTTGTACCATCCGGACTGTCCTTAAGAGCAATACCTAAAATTGCCAAATCCTTCCTAATTGCATCAGATTTTTCATACTCCTTATTCACTCTCGCGGCAGCCCGTTCTTTAATTTTCTGCAAGACTTCCTGTTCTGTTAAGTTTGCACGCTTTAAAGCCTTTTCGTTAAGCTGCTGTAAAACCTGCAGTATACCCAGAATAGACTGGTTAATCAGAAACAAGGCCAAGAACAAAGGGACAAGCAAATCACTCGGCCAAATTCCAACTCAGTAATTAAAAAATTACCTTAAGGAACATGCATTCGAAATAGAAACCAAGTATAACATCTCAAAATCGTACAGGGGTATAACAGGGACAGCCTCATACCTCAGAATAACTTGCAGCCATAAGTCCTAAAACAGTCAGAACGTTCCTGATACTCTTCTCCAGAGCTGAAAGTGATTCGATTCGCAATTCTCGTTTCCTTCCCTGAATCAATTATCAACATGGACATGTTAAAAGGGCTAATAAGCAGCACTCCATATATCCCTCTTACACACCCAAAAAAAAAAAAAAAAATCAGAAAGTAGCATTCGTATGATACTGATACAAGTTCTAAAAGCTGTCCAAAAATAAAGAAATAGAGAAGACCATAGCCTCACAAGGCCACAAAAAATGGAAGTTGTCCGGAGACCAGACTAGACCTAGGTTCAACCTTTGCTTGGACTGTGTCATCATGAGATTATATAATCAAATAACAATTAATTATGCATATTTCCTTAGACATAGACCAATTTTTTAATAATGAGTATAAAAATCAAAATAAAATAAATTATGTATGCATTTTGTTGACAGAGCACAATGATATCGTGCGATCCATATAATCAACTCCACTTAGTGGGATAAGGCTTGTTGTTGTTGTATGCACTTATACATGTTCATCTCATCCCAATTATATAATTGTCATTGGGTGCTATCTTTTGATCCACGTGAGGAAATACCGCACCTTACGAGTATGTAGCAGATCGTTGATTGCTTTTAATGGGTCAGACAGTGCAGCCAATACAACTGGGGTGTGGAGGTCATCGGACATTGAAGCCACAAAAACATCATGAAACTTGTTAATAATATCTAAAGTATCAGGTGGGATGGAATCCTTCCTATTTGTGAGATCATGTTGGCACAGAAAGCTTTCACATTCATGTAGAGTCTGCAATCACAAGAATTTCATCAACGTAAATCCAAAAAACACTTGCAATTAGAAGATGAAGGAAGCAAGCACAATCAAAAGCACTAAGCGGGCAAGAGGACAAGTTTCATCATAATCAGTCAACATCCTATGAATTTGGCACCTCATATATGTAGAAAACACGGTCTGAAGCACTTTCAAGCTGTACATGAGAGTAGTTAATAGGAGATCGATAATGGGCTCCCATCAGAAAATATCTCAGAGCCAGTGGATGGTAAACGTCTACAACCTAGCAATACAATAGAAAAGGCAACACAAGAAGCACGGAACTTTAGAAATTGGGCTTTCTATTTCTTTGACATAAAAAGATATTAGACTTGAATAGAATGGATCTGAAACCAAAAAATGCATCACCTGCCGTATGGTGAAAAAATTTCCCAGAGACTTGGACATCTTCTCTGAGTCCACAGTGACAAAACCATTGTGCATCCAGAGACTTATATTACTTTTCTTACAAGCAGCACAACTCTGGGCAATTTCGTTTTCATGGTGAGGAAACACAAGGTCGATTCCTCCACCATGGATATCAAAAGAGTGACCAAGATGAGCTGCACTCATAGCACTGCATTCAATATGCCACCCAGGTCTTCCAGGACCCCAGGGACTCTCCCAAAATGGCTCTCCTGGCTTTGCAGACTGCAACGTAGCATGGAAAACCCATAAAACAAGAAACACACAGAAGTAATATGTAAAATTATTTATATGGCCCTCTTGATCGTCTTTAATTCCACTCTTAGACACGGGATGGTAGATATATATTATCCTTTTACGTCACAGATATTATACCTTCCAAAGAGCAAAATCAGCAGGATTTTTCTTCCTTGAATCAACAGCAACCCTCTCACCAGCTCGATTATCTTGAAGATCTCGTCCAGATAGCTTCCCATATTCTGGAAATTTTTCAACGTCAAAGTACACATCCCCATCAACAATGTAGGCATACCCATTATTAATAATCTGCCAAGAAGATTGATTAAAGGCAAGACCATATCATATTTCTAAGACATATGAAGATAAGAGAAACTGATTCTAATGAGAAAGACATTTCATCATCCAATATCATATCCAAATAAGATTTCTGAGAAGCAGAAAATAAACTTCAGACATGAAATCGTCCATAATCTGTTAATCTTTCTGTCTTGCATATTAGTACAGCAGAAAATTAACAGCAATGGCACCTGCTCAACCATACTAATGATTTGGGGCATGTGCTCTGAGACTCGTGGCTCCACAGAAGGTGGTAGACAATGAAGAGTTGCCATGTCGTGACTAAACTCTTCACAATAGCGTCGACTCAAACTGATTGGATCCTCTCCTAACTCCTTTGCTCGAGCAATTATCTACAGAATTTGAAAAGCGCAGACTAAGATCCTGTCATGCCAATGTAAAAAGTAGTGGGTACTTCGTATTCGTAGCAAAGGGATAGTGAAATTCACCATCTTTCTATAAAAAAGATTTCTTTTACAAGCTTCATTGTTACTGGGGAAAACCGTACAAGTACCAGGGTAGCTTATAAGTTTAATCCAAAAAGCAAAAGAAAATGGATAACAAAGGAAAGAGAGCAAGAATTTGAATAATCCAAAATAATTTCTAAATTCGTGGACAATAATCAGCGAAAGAGAAGTAATTCATAAAAAAAATGCCAAAATACCAAAGGAGCATGGGTTTGTGATATGGTAATAGTAACTTAGACTCACCTTGTCATCTACGTCAGTGAAATTGCGAACATAAGAGACTTCATAGTCCATATGCTTAAGATATCTGCCTAATTGTCAACCAAAGTACAAAAGAAAAACCATCAGTACTTTAAGGTTGAACTTCAAATTTGTTTTAATCGTAAGCTGCAGAAAAAGATGACGTCGGTAACCACGATACTAAGATAATCTGCGAGGAAGTGTTAGAATTGGTGTTCTCTCTAGACAATGGATCTAAAGACCACATTTTGAAGCATAAACACTCATTTTTACTCATGACAAAAAATACGCTACGTGTTATTTCATATGGTTTAGACCTGGCTCAGATAATCATCAACAAGCTCCTACCTTTGATTCTTAATAAGCAGGAGATATGAATTTCTTGAAAAAAGGAGAAAACAACTCCGCTTTGTTTTCTCGTCAATCAAACAGAGATTAGAATCACTACCACGAAATGATATCGAGTCAAAAGCCACTGGCCTTAAATAGAGAAGAAGAGAAACCTATAAAGAACGTCAAAATTGATGTAAACGCGAGCATGTCCAATATGGCTAAGATCATATGCTGTGACTCCGCAGACATACATTCCAACTTTTCCTTCCGCTTTAGGTTTAAACAGCTCTCTCTCTTTACTCATCGTGTTATAAAGCCACAGCGCTGGCGATGGATTACCACCCCCCTCCCCGTCGGATTTACCGAAGTTGCGTTCAGTAACCGAAGGCTGGGACGGTCGCAAAGAACTGGCACTATAACAACGAGTAACCGAACCCAGCTTCCTCCTCTTGAGAATGCCGGCGGGGCTCAGCTGGTTGGTTCTGATTTGAATCGTTCGAGCCGGATAAGGAAGCATCAAGAACAAGGGTCTGTAGCATCTCAGAAGAGTACCCATTAACAGAGATGCCGTTGCTTTCTCCAGCAGTCGTTCGGCTCCTTGTTTCGGTCCTCACAGGCACAGATGACACGTTATCAACAGTGAGTGAGGTCGCTCGCTCGCGTAAGTCCTAAGCATAAACAGTGAACTTCGAAATCCCATTCATTAAAAATAAAGCAGGATAAAACAAAGTCAATTTGTATGGATATTGACTTCTATGATAATAAACTGATAATCGAAAAGTTTTTTTTTTTCCTTTTTTCCCTTTTAACGATAAAATAATTAATATATGAAAATCTGCATATGTATATATATATAGAGAGCATAAAATTATATTACCAGCGTGACTGCTGGGTGATTGGGCACAACACGAGTTATAAACGGAATGACGTCCCATATACCTCCGGTATTAATTATAAGAACTCATTTTATAAATGAAGTTTTATAATTAGAATTACAAGTAGTATTTTATAAAATTATATATAGTTTATACTACCTCTTGTCCTAAATATAAGAGTCAATTGACTAATTTGAGGAGATTAAGAAAGTAAGTTGAGTTAGTTATTTGTCCTAAATGAGTGTTGTTTTTCCTAAAATATCCTTGCTAATAAAGTGTATTGATTAGAATTATCATTGTTAGAAGAGTTACTTTGAAAAAATATATATAAATATGAGAAACAAAGTGGATTGGGGTCTTATATTTAGGATCAAAATAAAAATCAAATAGGATCTTATATTAAGGACAGAAAGTAGTACCAGGAATAAGGTCTAATTTTATCCTCTAAGTACTCGTTCAGGGAGAGATATAAAAGTCTTTTTAGAAATAATATCACCCCAAAAAGTTATCAAAACATAGCAATGTCACCCTTGGCAAACATTAATTTTGACCGTTAAATCCCATATTGGACTAATTTGTGCACTCCTGGTTTACTGAGTTGGACAATAAGACTTGCTAGCCGTTCATATGGCACCAACTCACTTAATCGAGATCCTAGTTGGCACTCATTTGATAAATTATAAAAATTAAATAAAAAAATCTCCAGGCTCCATCGATCGTGCCATCAACACCTTTTCTCTGTTCACAGTCACGCCCATCTGTATCCACCATTGATCATGCCGATAGCCACTTCATTTGATCTCTCCATTTTTTTGGTTCAGCTCGCAATCTCCACTTTCCATTATCTGACTCTCTCATTCTGTTCGATTGCCCACTCCTTGGTGAGCATTCATAGCCGACGCCAGATGGGAGCATAGTCAGATCTACACCTCGTGAGTCGCTGGAAGAAAAAGTTATCTGGAGAGGAAGGGGAAGATAATGAGAGGCGATGATGAAATTGGCATTCTTGAACCCATTGACACCGCTGCATCCTTCTTGAAATCATTCCTTCATATTTTAGATCTAAACCCGCGAACACGAAATTAGTAAGTCATCTATTGCAAGGGAAGTACTTCCTAGCTTAATTGCATGTGTGCTTCTCAGCAATCTGGGAGCATCTATAACAAAAGCAGCGAAGGATACCCTTGTGGCAGAGCATAGCCAGAAGCACAAAACGGGTAGCTTACAGTCATATGTGTTCATGGCTTTAGCTATTAGTGGAATTTTAATAATTTCAGGTCTATAGTTAAAACACATGACTTATGCAATTTTTGTGCATTTCAATTAGTATTTTTCTCTCACATATCCATATGTTTGAAATCCCATACCTACGATGGACAGTAGAGTTTGGATTGCAAGAACAGTGATGGACTCTGCGTTGAGAAGTTTGAAAGAAAATCACTGAATCCCCCTTCCTTCCATCTCTCTCTTCTTTTGCTGATGCGTTTTGCTTTGTTCCCTTCTTCATTCTTCCCTCTCCATGATGCTGAAAAATTTTCTTTGGATTGCTTGGTCTTTTTGGTTATTTCATTCTTGATGTAAATTAAATTTCTGACTTTTTTCAATGCATGGTTGTTTTCATTTTTTGCACGGAAGTTCGATGGTTTCCGGCTTTCCAGTATAAAAAGGGAAGGAATATGGTCCAAGGAAGAGGAAATATGAGGCAGTCAACACCTAGTTATGAGCTGATAATGAGGTGGCATATCAAGTGTCATGTGGGAGTGCCATGTGGCTTTAACAGTCAAAATTAACGTTTGCTTACGGGTAAAACAACATTGCTCTTAAAAAACTTCCGGATACATAGAGTTCCTGAACCAATATTTTCGGGATAATATTGAACCTTATCCCTTTATACTACAACATTCTTTCTGTCCTAAATATAAAACTCTTTTTGTAGTATAATTTACACTATAAAAATAGTCATATATTTGAAAAGTATTATACAAACACATAAATATATAGACATAATCTATAAAATTTAAATATACCATTTATAATCTATAATCTGTATACAGTACAATTCACTTTGTGCATGGGAAGTACCCACACATTTAGGGCCCAGCTTCCTTACCAAATGCAAAACTGCGATGAGCAGTGGGTCCTAGGTTCAAATATGAAATTATCAAATCCCCAAAATGAAAGCGAATCAAATGTTAACTAAAGAACGGGGCCGCCAGTGTACGTTCACGTTTTCGGTGCTGAATAAATTGTTGTCTCTTTGCCCATGGGCAGATGGTTTAACATGTCAAAAAGAAGAGGGGTAAAGGCCCCAAAATAATAACAGCGGTTATGGAACATCCGGAAGTATCGAGTGAGAGCTCAAAATGGCTGTCATCCACTACAGTGATTATGGCCCATCAATCTGTAGCTATCCCTTTCACTGTCGCTGCGCACCTCAAAGAATCATCACCTCATGCATCGCAAATGACTGTAACCAATCTTCCACAGTAGCTGTTGTCCTCTCATCAAGCCAAGGAACAAACCTTGTCTGGAAAATAAAAACCAGTAGTAAGACAATTTGCTTCATGATAAACCAAATTGAGAATATGATCACCTCTGAACTCTGTTAGTTCTTTTTTTCCTCTCCCTTCCAAAAAGAAAATGACGGCTACAGATATTTCACCTTGTCTGATGCTACTGCAACAAAGGCGACTGTCATCTATATACGTTGCCTGGACTCCCATCATCCATGAGCCCACTGACGTATCGTCATGAGCGTAAGTCTTAAGAGACACACTACATTTGACAGAACTGAATCAGGCTACAATTCAGGGGAGAGGGAGAGAGGTGAAATCTGGAAGATATTTTTCTTTAGTACAGTTGCATATATCCACTATCATGAAAGACCGACTACATTAGCATAAGTTAAAAGGAATAATTTTCTCAACCAAAATGCTTAATTATTCAAGCTACGCCAAACACACTTCTCCCCGGTCAGCTTCAAAATTTCCAGTACCAAGTCCGTAATACACTAAAAACTAACCTGTTTATGTTAATATACTGTGCCAAATTCTTCGAAAGTATAAAAAGTGAACCAGCCGCATGCCGGAAGTACCTGAAGATATTTAAAAAAAAAAAAAAAAAAGCTCAGGATTTATACGACAGGAATACACTGTCAATAAAAAGGCATATATGTCAGCCATCAAGAAGATGTAAAAGCGGATAGCTGTCTAATCGACTATGGCTTTCCCCGAAAATGTTTTTTAAAAGTATTTTGATGCAAGTCTTGATAAAAACCCTCTCACATACTGACTACGCATACCGTAAAATCATTTTTAAAATCATAGTTTAGTTTCTATCCAAACACCCCTTAGTACCAATAAAATTAAGCAAAAATACAAACATGAAGAACCAACGCGTCACAAATGTGCTGAACACTTCAAGAGACAATTGTATGGATCATATACTTCTCCCTACGCTCCTTGTGGCATGAAGTTAAGCATAGTACCCAAAAAAAAAAAAAAAGCTAATAAAAGAATAATCTACTATGTGATAACGCTCACTAGCTGCCGTATTCCCACAGGACTAAAAACAAGTGAAAAGAGGTAATATTCTCTGACGAAGAAGAAAAAGTGTGAGATACAGACCCAAAGATTGCAGATAATATGGGGCGCACACAGATGAAGACAACCTCTCCCAATAAAATAAATAACAAATACAGAGGAAAATTTCATATAATCTTCCCATTGAAAAGGTAGGCCACTTACGTTTTCTCATCCCCAAATTTCCACCATTCAGGCTCATACCATGGCTTTCCCCTGAAAATAAATGAAAAAGATGCTCAGAAGTAGAATTGGAAAGCTCTCAGTTAAATATCTCAGATAAAGGATAGATCTTGCGATAGTTTCATGATAATATGTTATTACAACTATAAAGAAGAAGAAAGTGACAATCTTAGAAAATACCGATTAAAAACTTAGGGGAAAAAACATTTCAACTTTAGCATATATGGGAAAGGCCTACACATGTTTATAGCAGAAAAGTTCTTACAGCCAGGAAATTCAAAGTTTCTTACCAAAGGGAGTACATAGAGAATAAAAAAGGATCAAAATTTCCCCCCAGGGAACATCCAGACTCCAAAGAAAATGAAGTACATATTTTCTTTTTTTAGCTAAAAATTAACTACATATTCGATAAATACAAAATACAATTAAAAGAATAGCTAGGAAACTAAGAAAATAAAGCCATTGAGAAGGGTAGACAATTCCAAGCAATACTTGATCCAAACATTCTATGCCACAAGAAACTGCCAAAACAATGTCATAGATATATGATCCCAATTAACATAACAGAAAGATAAAATAGAGAATGTACTCTTCTGTTACAACGTCTCCTGATTTCATGCATCCAATATATGCTCCATCTTGACCACGACGACGGTCGAGAACTCCAATTAAAGCCTCTGTTAAACCAGAAACAGCAATAAGAATGCCTTGATTGGTTCTCATGAACATAATCACATGATTAGATGTAAACAAGATCTCCTAAGCAAAGATATTAATTTTAAAGGGTCGTATACCCAGGTCGAGGTCGATATTGTCATCAACTTTCACATAAAAGTCAGCATCCCAGTTCTGAACAGCAGCACTGAAGAAGAATTTTGCCTTTTTAGGCAACTCTTCTTGAGCTTCTTCATGACCTTCCTGATAAATTAACAAAAATAGTCAAGCTCTGGACACAACACCAAAGAGCACCAATCATCAATGAATATATTCTATCAAATGAAAATAAGAGATGATGGCCATAGGAGGCTAATTCAAGTGGTAAGGATGAGGCGGGGTGTGGGTAAAGGTCCAAGATTCAAACCCTCCTAATGTTATCAAAAACAAAAAGAGCATTAATTAATATGAGTCATAAGGGTCAAGAGTTGTCCTTTGCACTAGGCATGCATGAGCGAGCGAGCGAGCAAACATTACCTGCTAGCAAATAAATGTAAAAGCCAACAATGTCCCAGTTTCTATATATTCTGGAGGCTCTCCACACACATAATACAACATAGAAGATTGAGGCATTAACCAATGTAAATTACAGCAACATGGCAACTAGATTGCTTACAAGAATCAAGAAATCCTTTGTCAAACTGTGTTCCTCATCAATATGGCGATCTAAGCTATCACCTCGGTTAGCACTGCCAATAACAATTAAATCATAAGAGAAGTTGGACTGACTACCATTTATAGCAAATAATTAATCATAAAAAATCAAGCAGGCAATTTAACAGCTGGAAAGGATAAGTGTGAGGAGAAACCTCCTTCCAATTACAAAGCGTATGACCACTCCTCTTTCTTCAAGTTTTTTCAAGGCATCACCTGCTAAAATGAGAATTTGTCAGTGCTTACGGTCTACATAATGTTAAAACCCATACTACAAGTTGAGAAGCACAACAATAAAAAATAATATACAAGAAGACCTCTGGGCATCCAAGACCCTCTGAACCTCTTTCTTTGCAAATGACTCCCAAATCCAGTATAAACTCCGATGACAGCAAGAAGTCTCTTGTCAGGAGAGCTACTTTGCAGCGGATGGCCTTTGAGATACCCTTGGCTCTTTGCCAATGTAAGTTCCATCTCAGCTTCGACAATCCTCCTCTCTAGGTCCCTAATAAATAGACAGATGTCATAAAAATTGACAAAGACTAATCCAAGGAAAGGGAGGGTAAAGCAGGGTCAATTCACCTGCATCCGAGGACCATTAGCTTATCTTCAACTGTAAGAACCTTGGGCCTCTGGCAAGGGAATCACAGTCATTTAAGGTATGAGACTTGCATGAATCAAACAACTTGAACAAGCAAAATTTTGGGGGGTGGGTGTGGGGGAGGAATTAATTCTTCCTCTTGGGCAAGAGACATTCACAACTTTTTTGCTTCATAGCAGCCAATAAGCATCTAAAATCGAAAGGCAGAGACTTGAGACAAAATAACACCTGGGCTGAGTTCTTCTTTAGAAGACTGGTAAGTAAATTTCGGTTTTCTGCATCTTGCCATAACCTATCATTCCAAACAAGTAATAAAACATTAAAACTCGTTAGAATGCATAGAATCTTTATGGCAAGTAATTTATGTTCAGAAGTTTGAAATTAACAACGAAGATTGACAAATTACGGAGATAATGACACTTGCATTATCCCGCTAAAACAGGGCCATCAAATTGTCTGGATGCAATTCCCACAATTTGGCTGATGCTATTTAAGAAAATACTTAAAAAAAAAAAAAAAGGAACTGTGCACAAATCTGGCGGACCTCGCGTCCAAGAAAGATGAAGAAAAAGACAAAGGCAGAAATCTTCAATTCCAGGCACCACGACAGAGGTCCCAAAATAACCATATTGATCAAATCGGCACAAATGCGATCAGCACTAAACGAAAATTCAACTCCAATTTGGAAAATCAAGTGTAGAACAGAAAATTCACAGAAATGGAGGCATACCGGCCAGCGACGTAAAGCCAAGCAACGCAAGAGAAGAAGGCCATCACGAGCGACGGTTTCGAGGTCTGAGGAGACTTTGATCTCCCTCGCCTATCGGTTTTCGATGAGGTGATCGGTAAAGTCTCCATCTTGAGCAAACGGATTCAAATTTGCTGCTCGCTTTAAACCTTATTTCAGCGTTTCTGGTTCCGATTCATGCCAATTTCAGGGTGGAAATATGCACGACTCAGGCGTAGGAAAGGCGAAACGGGCTAATATACTTGGAACTAACTGATAGACTAGCAGCTTGCCTATTCGTTTCTTCTTTTTTCCCTCCCCTTTTCAACCAATATTAATTGTGCAGAGAAAATGAGCACCGCCAAACCAGAAAAACTTCAATATTTTTACCTTTCCAGAAAGGATATGCAAGCGGCTAATTAAGGAGTAATCAAGCAAATGAACGCAAGAGACAGAGTATTAAATGGTGACGAATGTGTGAAAAGAATTCATATTAATAGTACATATTTGGAAAAGTTTAAATCAAATGCAACGAATGAAATGGTTAAATTTTTTCCTATTACCATAAATAGAGGATCATATCGCAGGGTTTAATTCATACATGGATCTGAAACCTTGAGATTTATTGTAAATGATGAGTTATCCATCTTAACTTCTCCATGCTAACAAACAGGTGAAACATACGTCTCTAGTTCGCTTTTCAACATCATGGATGGGAAGTTTCATTTTTAATCTTTTATTTCGTCAATATATTTGGGGGGGGGGGGAATATCAGGACATTCTTTCGTATTTGAGGGAGGGAAATAATGGGAAAAAAAGTGTGTTTAATGTGAATATATCAGACCAATATTATATAGGCACACACACCCTGCCGAATAAAAAATAAACTTATTTCCTTACATTCATTAATTTCACCTGCCCCTTTTTTTTTCACCACAGCTGTGAGACACGTATATTCGGTTTCGTGTTACCTGTATTTGTTCAAAATAATTTTTTCAAATTTATTTTTTATATTCTGTAAAGTTGAAGCATTTATATAAAATCTAAGATAAATAATACTATTTTTTAGCCAGAACTTAAGTCATCCTTCCTGGACTTTGTGAACGCTATGCCATTTTACACTTCTACTGGCACGTTGATGTTTGAAAAATTTATTTAATTTTCAGTTCTCTCTCACCCGTCGCCTATATGGATCCCTAAGGAAAGGGTGAAAGCTTATCGAGAAATTTAGTTTGGGCGTTAGTCGATCGATTCCGGACCCCAAAAACCCATCACTCAAAATCAAAATTTACATGCTTAGCCAGCTAGAGGATGTGATTCCCAGATAGCCCAGTTCCTCTTTCTAATCCAAATCAAACCTGAATTTGGTAGCGTTGCTTCCGTCTCTATTTCTAACGTCTTACCTATCAAAAATACAGCTTGAACATGACATGCTAACTGGTTCAGTGACTTGTTTTTCCAGCGCAATAGAGCGAACAGAACCGTCTTGGATGAAAACCTCGATCACCTGGGTATTAAAAAAAAAAATGTTTGAATAATTTTTGATAGCCCATACTTGACTCCCACGCTTTGCAACGAATTTAGATCCCAACCACCTCAGTAACTGCTGCCAAAGGGCTTTTAAGGGAGATTTGGTGGGTGAAGTATATTGAGGATTTAGCTCCCAAACCATATATTTCATACATAACCAAAACCCATGGCACTTTAATGAAAATCTTATAATCCAATCGTGCAAAACTTAAGGTGATGAGTTCGAATTTTCTATAAATGGTGTAATGAGCATGTGACTTATGACCCAAAAAAAAAAAACAATGAAAAATTAAAATTTCCAAGAGGCCTACATTAATCAGATAAAATACAAAGGTCAACACTTCTTTTTTATTGATGGAATTGAAAGATTCCGGGGGACATTTCATTCACATTGCAGCAGTTGGTCTGGCTGGGTGATTGGCCGAGACCTCTTTTAGTCGAAGAGACAATTTAACATTGACGAAACTATTTCACTAGACTAAAACATTATATACATTCCCTGGTAAAAGTTCAAGCTGATCGTGATTACAAAAAAGACCTCATTCTAGAATCATGTACATGAAAGAACCCACTCTATGACCAGTTCATTCCGTGGAAAATGCCCAAAAAAAGACGGCACACAGGCATTGGCTTTCAACATGCAGATTCAAGGAATAGCACCCCAATAAAAATAATGGAAGAAGAACCGCTTCAAGAAAGGATCGGTTTTGGCCATATCAAGCTACATAACTATATTTTATACTCCCAACTTGTTCGTACACCAGTCTGCCATATTAGCTATCACAAACCCTGCAAACACCTGCATCACAGTGGCAATAGAATTCTCCCATTAATACGTGAAGGGGTGGAATGATTTTATCCGGGTGTCAAACCCTCTTCGTGTAACTAGGGGAAAGGTGGGGGAGGCTAAAATGATTTGCCAACTGTGACTTCTATATGAGTGAATATTCAGCAAATTGTGCAGACAAAATTCCCTACACTAGCTTTTGTCAGTCCAAATGAAAGCAAGGATCTTCCCACCAGAACCACCTAGGCTAAAGTCCCGGACGGCATGATTGGCAATGGTAATAGATAACATCAGGATGAATATATTTGTGTAGGTTTAAATTTAACAACATTTATACCTGAATCGAGCCAACAATGTATATTGCTGAATAATGCCGACCATGGATCACCATGTCTGCCAACATAGCAAGAGGAATAGTAAGTGACATGCCCAAAGTAGCCACAAGGGGAGTTGTCCATACAACAGAGACTGCCCTGCGTAGATGAGCAAACCTCTGATATAAGATTTTTGAGTAGATCATGAATGTGTAAATTAACAAGATTTATTTCATGTACCACATGTAATCTGACAGGACGCTACCAATGAATCCATTGGCAAGAACCACTTCATCCACGAGAGCAGAGTGGGGAATCTTAAACTCAGGTTCGATTCCTATGGCCATCAAGGGCCAGACTGAAACAAACATGACAGAATTAGCCATGATCTTATAAAGTCGCATATATTTTTTCATCATTGGAAGATAAATTATAATAGCCACAACAAAAACCCAAATGAGGGGAAATAGAAAGTGGGAAGTGCCTTAATGTGCATGAAGATTGGTGCATGGTCAGAGAACCTAATAAGTTTGTATCGATGACTAAATTTAGAAGCATTGGCCAGGTTAAAGACTTACCAAGCCACCATAACGCTACTAGTGTAAACAATCCAATATATCCAAACAGCTTTTGCACGTCAACCCTTTCTCCTTCTTCACCGGAAAATTTTTTAAGCAGAACTGCACATCAAAGGTAAAAGAAGTGGTCACAAGTCATCAAAACTATGCAAGAGTAAAAAGCCAAGAGCTGAGATATTGCGTTACCTGTAAAGAGACCATATGTCATGGCTGATAGAAGGCCAAAAAGATCCCCAACAAGAGAGCGTTTTCCATTACTGAACACAAATACCAACTGTTATCACCTAAAAGAAATTATAAATAGCAAGCTGGTAATGGGACATTCATTTAGGAAAGGAAGTAGAAGGAGCAGTCCATATGATATCCTAAATTCCTAATATAATGTGACTATCTTCCAAGGCAACAAATAGACTCCATAGCACTACACTATAATTGGGTGCACATCCTTTCAGTCTGTGTCAGATTATAAGGGACATTAACAAAACTAAACACATGCAGGCAGATAATTTCTAGAAAAGGAAGAGGAAAAACAAGAGCTACATGTGGAATATTAAAAAAGGAATAAGCTGTTTTTTCCATTAAAAAAAAAAAGGAAGACATATGTTTTTCTCAGAACAACAAAGAAAAATCGAGAGCTGTAAGTGAAATTCAGAAAGGAAGATAAGATGCTGTTTCAAAAATTGATCCATCACTAATGCCCAACGCAGATGTCAGAGAACTTATCATCCAAAAAATAAGCTGCTAATAGATATGCTAGAATGGCAGAGAAGAGACCTTAACAAGTACTCCAACTAAACATCACAGTTGATTTAAGAATTTTACTTTTTGTGAGCCAACTTAAAGCATAGAGAATGAAAAAGGATTAAGTCCTAAAACAGCACACATTACTTTTGATCAATCTTTAAGAAGTCAGCTAAAAAAAGAAATCAAATATAAGAAATGTGGCGAACAAAAGTTAGAGTTTAGGCTTACTCGGCACTTGATTGTGACTCATCTGTAGCCCAGGTTTTCCCCATTGTTGTCATGGCCACACCAGCCATACTGATGAAGACCGAAACCACTTTTGCTACATTTAAAGAATCTTGGCCCATACTCACCCCAATGAAAAGGGTAAAAAGTCCAGAAGTAGATGATAATACTGTTGTACTAGCTACGCTAGTGCGTGCGAGGGCAGCATTTGATAGATACTGAAAGCAAAAAGAATCAATGAATAAAACTCCAATGCTACCCTTCCTAAATGATCTTATAGACCAGAGTAACCATCGAAACTAAGTATGTATGAAGCTAGAGAATCTGATGAGAATCTTCAGACATGAGGCAAGGAAACAAGACATTGGTCATTGCACCAATATGATCAATACAATGAGACATTTGACAACCTTAACAGCAAGCAAATTTTAGCTTCTCAATTTTTTGAAGCTTCAAAACACGGAACTTCCTTAGCTAACTATGCAGTGATCCAACCATTTCAGAAAGAACTTCATAGACACGCAACATTAAAAAGCAATGAAGGAGTCATACATCTGTTGCACTGCATGCTTTGGTCCTTCCTAATTTCAAAATGTAGATATCATTTTGAAGTTACTTACCTCAGTAATGAACCAGAGAGGTGCAATGGAAAACCCATAAAAAGCAATCTGCCTAGTCGTGAGTTCTTTCTCTGCATTTAGCACATTAGCATCATCATATTTAGCCACCAATGGCTCTCCTTCTGCAAGATTTGAGAGGTCTAAATCGCTATCTTTTCGATTTATGCTGCCTAGTTCAAGTTCAGAGTGTTTCTGTGTTCCAATACCCTTGAGAGGAGAGCTACTTCTGGAAAATGACTTATCCACAGTTTCTGCATTGTTACCCCTTTTATAAGAGTGGCTAAGTAAGTTACACAACCAGTCCTTAATAAAAGCTACTGGGAGGAAAACTACCATAAGCGAAGCTCCAAGGTATGTCACTGCAAATGGCTGCTTATAATCCGTAAAAATATCCTGTTGAGAAAAATATTATTCAGAAAACCATTCATAAATAGAAAGCTTCGATGCTGACATACTACATGATAATGCGTCACAAAATGATGGCCCTCAAGAAGAATTGCAAAAAGGAAAGATGCTTTAACAAAGCAGTTTCTTGCCACGTTGGGTAAGGATTAGTAGGTGGAATAGAATGAATCTGCAGCGAAACACCATTTTTCAAGAGATCCCAATAACTTAGCAACAAATTATCCCTCAGCTAAACATGAACCTGCACACGCCTGTCTGGGGCACAATGGTGTCCTATTTGATTTTTCCACCAACAGATTCCTATATGAGGGCACAAACCCCAGAAAATTTAATTGAAATCAATTGTATCATAGAAGACTGAGGATCGCAGAGAGATATCAAAACAAGTGATCAAGGAATTAAAAACGAAATAAAAAAACAAACAGAAACGTATACACGAGCAACTTTAAGAAATGGATTCACCCAAACTCGAGGCAAATTTGATCTATCTGGGCAGAAAAAAAAAATGGTGAAGTTAAACTCACACGTCACAAAAGCCTACCTGCGTGACTTCGGCCGAGGTAACCCATATAATTACAACAGCCGCTATAAGAAATAATCCAGCCTTGTATCTCCAACCCATCACAAATCAAACAATGTGCAGTTGGAGAAACCAAAGGAACTGCAAAGATCCGCACGATTCTTCCAGATTTTTGTTCTCCAGCAAGGAGCCAGCCTTTTCTTGGGCTTTTGGGAATGGATAAATAAAAGCTTCCGTACAGGTAGTAAATAGGCCAATGACTGCTGGGATTAATATCCGCCTTCAACGCGAAACATTGCTAAGGGCATCTAAGAATGAGGTCTAAGCAAAGGAAAGCTTCAATCCTGCGTACCAACTCGAAACTGCGGAACAGGGAAGGGCTAAGCAAGTTTGCGAAGAAATAACGGAGACGAAGTCGGAGAATTCTTGCGAAGGAGAAAAGCCAAGGACCCCGGGGCCGAATAATTACGAAAGAGAGGGAAGCACTCACGTTGGACTGAACCTGAACGCGGATGATTTGATCCAAATGTTCCTGCAAATAAATTTCTCATACGTCGTTGCCAAAATAAGTCAACGTTTTATTTTCTTATCCATGTTTTTTAATTTTAATTGTAGTTATTGGCTAATTTTAATTTAAACGCGTAGTATGTAGTTTATTCTATTGTATCAGCAATGAGCCAAACAAATTAATTAAACGTATCAAGTGATGTTTTACCATACATTGTATGAAAAATGTCTCTAATCGTTATAAATTTCAAAATTGTCGAGAGCTGAAAATGAAGTTTCAACGCCTAAAGAGTTCAGATATTGTTCTTTTCCTCCTCGCCGAAATTTTTCTCTTAATTTCGATCATTAAGAAGCTCATGTGACCATAGTCATTCAATTTTTACGCTATCCACGGCGAGCATTGTTTTTCTTTAATAAAGCTAGTAACATTTTTTTCTTTGGTGTCAGATTGTGTAAGTGAATCTAAAGTGAAACAAAATCCAAGTTTTAAGGATGGCATGAAAAGAGAGCGAGTGAAAAAACCGATGTAACTAGCTGGTCAACAGATGGGTTCAAGCCAAACCATTCAAAAGACGCTTTTACCCCTGCAGCAACGCATTTGGGCTTTGGCGCTTGTAGAGTTTGCTACGGGCATTTTCAATTCGGCCTGCTTTCGCTACTGCCTTCTATTATTGGGCTAACAGCAAATTACGCGTAAAGACCAAAACATCCCCTTCGCCGCTATACGTGGCTCTTGAAAAGGCTTATTGGCATACGAAGGGTAAACAGGCTTGTCATAACTAATTAGAGTATTTATACAAATAGTAAGCCATTCATGTACACTTTCATTAAAAAAAAAATTCAAAACAAGCTTTTTCATTAATTTTTATATTTACAATTGAAGGGAATAATAGTTAATTCTTGCTCACAAAACTCACAGCTTCGGCACATGATTAGCTTCTGTTCTGTTCCATGGAATCCAATTGTGTAAGCTGTATCAAAGGGAAAACATCAAGTCCATGAAAACTAAAGAATATTCTTAGAACGGAGCAAAACTTTTTCTGAAAAATTGTTGCAAACATTGGGAGCAACCTTTTTTGGCTGCAATAAGTGCGTGTTTGCTCTTTTGGGAAACAATAGTGTGGTAGTGGGATGGAACACCATTTTTATCTTCCCACCATAACAATGATGAATTCTTTTATGGCTTTCTTCAAAGTAAAGCAAAGCGATCGTTCTGCCAAGAGCGTTACCGCTAGAAAACGCTGGTACATGGAAACACAAATTGTACAAACGTGAAAGAGGTGCCAATGGACTGTAATAACTATTCCATTCATTTCTTTGCTCTTCAAGTTAGATTAGTAAGCACATGAACCAAATCTGCCCAAGTCAGCAATATAAATTAAATTTGTTCTGTAACGGCAGCTTTACACAATGGTTAGTTAGGCTCAATCCTATTTTATCTTTTATTCTCAGCGATCAGCAGCATGCACTCGGCTATCATTCACCCAGCCGAACTATGTACAAAATATAAGGACATTTCATCAATCCAACACTATCTGGGGTGCCCCAGTAGCTGGATCAATGAGCACTGAGTTGAGCCCAGTTGATGAAGAAACTGACCTATAGATGTTGGAAACTGGTTTCAGAGAGAAGAACCCCATAGCACCTCAGCGGTTATGGTGGCAACCTCTGCATCTGATTGGGCAGCCTCCTTCACCTCCTTCAGGATTTGTGACTTGAACTCCTTTTTCTCCTCCTTGATCAATCCTTCCCCCACTTCTAATTGGATAGCGAAGTTTGCAACACAACTTGCAAATGGAGAATCCTTCAATTTGGATTCTGACTCTGTTCCTATACAAGCCTTTCTCTCTTCCTCGTCACGCCGACCCTTTCTTTGCAAGTCCATGAGCTTTTTAATCAGGTCTTCTTTGAGCATCGCTTCGATTACTTCATCTCTACCGATATAAGCAAGTTCAAGAACACAATCCAAGGCTGCAATTTGAACCGATGAATCGTCCGAGCATAAAAGGTTGATAATTCTTGGGATTTCTCCAATTGCCAGAAGTTCATCCACCAACGGGCTCCTAATGAACCTTATCAGAGATGACAGGACTTGTATCGAACAGCTTGAAGCCATTGCTATTAGGGCCTTAATCGTTGGACCCATTAGCACCAATCCGACAAATACATTCTTGTTGAACCTAACCAAAGCGTCTATAGCCATAGCCGCCCGTTCCCGAACCCTTTTTGAACTCAATGGATCACTGAGTGTATGCTCAAGGAGATTGAATACCTTTGCCTTTAAAATCAAATCTTGAAAATCTATATCAAAACCCCGCGACAGTCTTTTCTCAAACCCAATCAAAGCCTTCACCTTGACGTCCTCGTTCGCCGATTCTACCAGGGTTTTGACGAGTCCTCTAACGGTTAATCGATCAACGTACGCTTGAATTTCGGACTCAATATCGCATGCAACACGAGAGATTTTGTAATTAGTGATTTGGCGGTTGATGAGGGATCGGAGCCCGAAACCTTCATATTTCTGTAGCTTCTCGATCAAGGCTCTGAGGGAACGGAGCAACTCAGACAGCCTGTGAAGATCAGGGTTGGCGGAGAAAACGGGAAGTGCCTTGCTTTCGAGCTCCAAAATCACTTCAATGGCGCCCTTGGAGTCATTCTTAAAGAGGAAGGGGATGGAATTGGCTTGAAGATCTTTGGAAGCTTCTTTGAGAACTTCTAACAGAGTTAGGAGACGTTGTTGTGTGTCTGTACTTGGGTTCTGAGGCTGATCCATAAGAGCTGAGAATGAGAATGAAAAGGTAGTTGAGTTCGGAGAGAGTGAGAGAACAGGTAGGTGGAGGAAGAAGGCGACCCTCAGAGAAACCGCGAACGCCAACTCAACTACCAGTAAAAAGACTGGTGTACTTGTGTGCGCCAAATACTCTGCTCCCCTTATAACTAAAGACAAAATCGTATTGCTTCTCATCTTTTCTGGAGTTTTCTCCCTTGCTTTTCCCTTACTTATTTTATTATATAAATGAAAAATTTTCTCATCGAGAAAAGCTTGGCCATCTTTGTATCCCAACTCCATCCAAATTAGTTAGGGTTATATATGATTTTGACATGGTGGGTTTGATTTAAAAAAAAAAATCAACAAAAGTATACTTACAACTCAATTACACACACCCACATTATTGTACCTCATAATTAAATAAGATCATCAGTATAACCCCTTTATGTTTATTTGTTCCGTCGGCGGCTCAGATAGGCGTGCTAGAGCTTGGAGAGCAATCAAGGATCTCGATACCTGTGCTGTGGAGTCCAGCGAAGATGCACGTTAAGTTTCCCACATTTAGCTCCATCTAACGCGAAACTATCCTGAACTTCCTTTTCTAGGAGGACCCTAGTCAGTGTCATCGTCACTCTGCCAATTTTGTCCTGAAAAACTCAGGCATTATTGTATCAAAGCATAACCCTCAGAGAAATACAAATCAAGCACAAGTAAATTAGCGAAGAAGGTTCCAGAAATCACCTTGCCGATGAGATCTTGATCCCAGACTTCAAGAATTAACATTTCATGTAATGCATCCTCCACAACGAAGTCAAATGTTTGATTCCAAGCCGGGTTTAGTCCTGAAGTTGCAACCTGACAATACGAGAGCTTTACAATACCGAGAATGTTTAACCAATGGAGAGTGGGAGAGTCGAGGAAGAAGCACAGTTGTTACCCTGGTCCTGCGTTTTTGGTCTGCTTTCTTCAACATGAGCTCAACGTAAGCGTTAGTTTTGCCCAGTAAGTCCATATCTGGTAGGTCTTCAGCTGATATCACTGTCACAGATAGTACTCCTCTTACTATCACATATTTTTTCTGTGATTTGTTAACATCACCAACCTGTGTCTGATCAGATGCACTTTTAATAGCCTTCTCGAAAGTGGTCAGCCCGAAGCTATCACCATACAGGTCTGTAAAGATGCTTTTAACACCAAATGGACAGTACAATAACTCCAAGTGAACCTATGTTCCAGAAACCTGAACATTACCTGACTTGCCAGCAGAATGATACGGGACAAGAAAGAAAGAGGATGTTACTGACCTCGCCCCTGTATTTTGTATCTCTTTGGACCTCCAAATTTTTGACCAGTTTCAACCAGAAAGTCTGAACTTTTCCAGGTTGAAGGTCCTTTAATGACACTTGGGCACACCCAATGAGCTGGTCAGCCTGAATGCCTTCATCATCAAATATTCTTACAGTCAAGTGCTGGGTTGATGCATCTTCCACGGTGAACTCGAAGTTCTCGTTCCATACTGGATTCAACTCGTTGTTCTGAAGGTTCCAGTACAAGTATCTAAGATAATTAACATCATGAGATGAAGAAAGCATACGTAGAGAGAATTATGGAAGGTGATCTTACGATTGTTTTGCTGGTTTGGACTCTGTCACGAAGTGGACGGACGAATAAAGCAGCAAAAGGATCGGATTTGCCAATCAGATCTTTATTTGCCAAGTCCTTTGCTTGCACTAGTTTTACTTCTAGTATTCCAACTGGTTTTAGCTCAAGGAAGCTGTAAGAGCACAAACATTTTAAAACATTGACTATTAGATGCGAGAAAAACGAGTTTAATTAAATATACCTGTAATCCCCTGGTATAATTGGTATAATTTTGCGTACTGGCCACGTTATAGAATCCTCAATAGCATCTCGAATTGTTTCCTATATAAATAACAGAAGAGTTCATCTGTTGGAAAATATTACGGTTTTTTTTAATGGATAAATATTATGGTGTTTTATTATTGAGCAATTGGGCAATCAAAGTTAAAATTAAAGAAGCGAAACGCACAATTTACGGCCCTTCAATATTTTAGAGATTCAACCGTCATATACTGTAGATTCAGGGCATAATGAAAATAACAGAAACACTTGTTTTGTTCATACCTCTATAGCATCAGATACGCCCGGGAGAGTTGAAATATCACCACCAGAAACCTTGAGAGTGAAGTCCAGGTGTTTCTGTTGGCAAAGCCAGAAGAAAACACAAAAGAAAGAAAAAGAACGAAAAGAAAAATTGTCAGATGAAATTTGAATTAGTTTTATTGAATTTACTAGCGAAGCATAAAGTTGAGAGAAAAAGGGTTCACCTTTTCTCTCAAGGAATAACAAACAGCTCCAAAAGAAGGGAACACGTCCACTAATGGTTTGAAGATCAGCCTGAAAACGCCAGTGAATCCAATATCTTTTACCTATTTAAGTGGCAAATCCAGCAAGTATGGATCAACACAAAGTATGAATATGTAGTTGATATAAGACAACGGAAGCCTATATGAAAAAGTATAGTCCCTGTTTAAAGTAATGGGGGGAAAAAAAAACAGAGAGACATCATTGAGATATGCATATCATCCTGAGTTTGATTATTGATTATCATGGAAAATGTGTTACCTTAACAGGTATTACAACGCCAACTCGGGTTTTAACATCAAATGCAATAGTGGGGTTGCCATCCCACTGCATCTCCAATTCCATAGTCACTCCATCAGCCCCGCTTTCTTCTTCAACAATGGCCACCCCTACGCATTTCGACCAAACATCCACAATTATAGCAAATATTATTAACTAGGTAAAACCAGCATGTTCACAAATTAGATTAGAATGCTAAGTCTACCATTAACTAGGAAAAACAAGACTGAGAGAGACCTGTGAACTGAGGTGCCACAGTGCCAAGAGTGAACTTGGAGAAGGTGATTGAGGACAAGATTTTGGGTGTGTATTGCTCAAGAATCGGTTCCACATTGCTTTTTATCAACTCCGATGTTGCCTATGTCAAATTATCCATATATTCATTAAATATGAAGAGCCCGCAAAATCATGATGAATACTGATAGAAGAAAGTTGGAAGCAGAGTACCTGATTAACATAAGGCCAGATTTTCTGGAGATGGGTATTGAGCCAGTTTAACTGCAGATGATAAAAGACGTAACATCAAATGAGAAGCCACGTCTCACAAGAAAAGGAAATCATGAAGATGAAGTTGAAAACTTAACTTCTGTCTGCGAGTGAAGACTACCCAGGGGGGACACGACTCCGGGGGGATAATTCTTCTAGAATCTTCCATCGTCTTCATCCTGGCAAAAGCTGCTACGGCCACCGCCTTAAACCAGCGAATTCAACATCCAACATAACAACAGTCAAATATCATCATAGAAAATTGAAGAAATGAAAGAATGTGGATCAATCCAGCGTTATATACCAAATCGGAACGACGTTTTGATCGGTAACTTTGGAAACGAGCAAAAGCGAAGATCAAAGAGATGCCAAGGGTGATGCCCATGATCATGCCACTGATGAAGCCCATCTTCCAACAGGTGCAGTAATGTGACTCAGACTTGAAGTTGAAGCTCAAACATGGAAGTCTTGGTGATTCGGGACGAGGAAGAAGTGCAGTGGCGGCTAATTTAAAACTGATTACGGTCCAAGTAATAACGAAGTCGATGCAACGAAGGAAGTAATATGTGCTTTTCTTTTCATTTCGTCCTTCTTTTGTTTCTTTCTTCCTTTGATAAACCTGTCTCGGATTGACCTGTGTTGGATTGAACATTGTAGTACTGAAACACAGCTTTTGTAGTGCTTATAGTCGCGTGCGTTTCTGGTTAACTCTGGCAATATTCGATTCATCACGAAAATAATAATCAAACGCGTATTTGCAATATTCATATTCTACTTATATGCTTTTCTACAGTAGCCTGTTACTTCCTTCACACGTGTTCGCTCCAACTAACTCCACCTGATTTAATTTCAAGGTGTGAGACTAGAACACATTACCGCCCGCTCTAATATAAAAGTTAACTGAGTAAGTTAACTAAATTGAGAAAATTAATTAAATTAGTTATTTATACTCTATTTTTTTTATAAGCAATATTGGACTCCATTAAAAAGTTAATTAAAGACAATAAATAAATAAAAGGGAAAATTAATCTTTTGGTCCTTCGAGGTTTAACTCAGCTGTGACTCAGTCCTTCAACTATAACTCGGTGTAACTCAGTTCCTGAACTTTTAACTCATTTAAAACTCAGTCTTTGATATTTACTTAACTTAAAAATTGCATCCTTATCATCCACAAGTCAAACTGAGTCATTCAATCTGACATGAATAAACTACCATATAAGAGCCACATCAGCATAAGAAGAGAAGGGGGAAAAGCCTAGACAATCAATGATGCCAAAGAAGAGGCCGTTGCCGGATAAGACAACCTAATGAAACAGTTATCCTCAATGACCACTCATTAAAAAGCCTGGACACTCGGATCTAAGAATATCTTTATTTTTTCTGCCTGCATAGACGTTTTCTGTCATGGCAGCGGTCATCCTTTTCTCCTAATGATGCTTTAAATATATGAACAATTGAACATAATAGCTCACTAATAAGAATCTTTCTCTTTTACCGTCTTGATCTTTTTCTTGTCTTTTTTCTTTTCTTGTTGTTTTGCATAGTCGTAGGACAAACAAGTACAAAAAATTAAAAATGTTTGGAATGTAACTCGATAAAATAGTTATCCTTATATGGAGTGATTCTGAGCGCATATTTTCAATCTGTGGGTCACTCTTTTTCTATACAATGGGTGGACACAGCATGATTTTAAGCATCAAGCATAGAAGATGGAATTCAGTTAAAGAAAACAAATTAATGATTTTGTTAAAGTACTCGAGACTCGTGTATTTGGTAAGTGTGTCATTAAAGATAACCGTTTCAATGTCGGAATTGGGTTGTTGTCTCCGACAACGGCCTCTTCTTTGGCATTGTTGATTGCCTAGGCTTTTCTCCCTTCCTTATGCTGATGTGGCTCTTATATGGCAGTTTATTCGTGCCAGGTTGAATGACTCGGTTTGACTTATGGATGATAAGGATATAATTTTTAAGTTGAGTAAATATCAAGGATTGAGCTTTAAACAAGTTAAAAAGTTCAGGGATTGAGTTATACCGAGTCAGAGTTGAAGGATTGAGTCACAACTGAGTTAAAATTTGAAAGACTGAAAGATTAATTGTCCCTAAATAAAAATTAAAAATTCCTTTTTCAAAATATCCTTATTCATGAGGAAGAGAAAATACAAAAAGAGAATAAAAAAATTATTATCATAAAGAGAATTATGAAAGAAAGAGAATATGGATGGAGAGATATGATGGTTTGAAAAATAAGATAATAAATATATTGGATATTAAAATAAGTAATTAATGAGGGCAAAATAGAAAATTTGCTACAAAAATTTAAGACAACTTACAAATATTGTTTATATTTAGGAATAAGAGGGAGATAATAGTTATTGCTTATAAAAAAAAATAGAGAGAGTGATAAATAAGTATTGTTTTTCTTAAAATATTATTGTTAATTAAATGTATTAGCTAAAACTGTTATTATTACAAGAATTATCTTAAAAAATAAATAAATATGAAAGACAAAACGAATTAAGGTCTTATGCTTATGACCAAAATAAAAATCAAACTAGTTCTTATACTAAGAAACAGAACAGTAGTTTTTAATAATATTAAAATATATATAATGAATAATGGTATAAATCTTGTAGGACTGATGAGGCTTCTCTCATTAATTATGTAACAACAGAATGGGAAAAATGAAATATGAAATTCAATTATCTATAATTCATATATTATTTTTATCAGGATTGAGGTGCATCCACCATTTTGAAGTATTTTTTTTCAAATACATCTAACACTTTAAAGTATTTGGTAGTATATCTAACATCCTGAAGTATTTTTTCGAGGGCGTTCAATGTCGTGAAGTATTTTTTTATGTATCCAACACCTTGAAGTATTTTTTTTTAGATGCATTCAACATCCAAAAATATTTTTTGGTAGATCTAGCACCAGGGCGAAAAAAAAATACTTTAGAGTATTGAGTGCATCTAAAAAATATTTTAGAATACTGATTACACAAAATATTTTAAAATATTAGATGCGCATGAGGGAATATTTAGGAGTGTTAGATGCAGGTTGACTCTAAAAATTATATTAGTTTTGCACAATGAGAAAATTTCGACTTTCAAGTATATTAAACCTTATTAGTTAATGTTTGTGTACGTGTATAAGAATAATATGAATTTATATATGCAGCAGCACAAATTAAAGTCATCGACGTTATAATTTCCCTCATATTATATACATGCTTACAAAGCAGGGCAAGCAGTCCAATTTCTGAGAACAAAATATTAATCACTTGAAGAGAAGTACTCTGCGATTGAATAATAAAACTAGACAGCTAGCTAGCTTGTAGTATACTACCTCTTGTCCTTAATATAAGACCTCGTTTAACTTTTTGTTTGGTCATAATTATAAGACCCCAATCTATTTTGTCTCTTATATTTATGTATTTTTTTTCAAGATAATCCTTCTAATAATAATAGTTCTTGCCAATACACTTAATTAGTAAGGATATTTTAGGAATGACAACACTTATTTATTACAAATAACTAACTTAACTTACTTCTTTAATCTCCTCAAATAAATCAACTGAATCTTATAATTAGAACCGGAGGCAGTATAATAACCAGAACCTCCCACGATCAACCTCCATTTTGTGCATGGGGCAAAGCATAGAGAACTTAAAATAGACATCCCCTACTAACCACTCTACTTTCCTCCCTTTTTGCCCTTCCATTTCCCCTCTTCTCGCTCTGTGTCGGTGACTGTGCCTACATATGGACATGCTTCTCAGCTATAAACCTCTATGTGTGTGTTTATGTATATCCCTCCATTCCTCCAATGCGAATCATTCTACGAAAGGAAGTTTGACAGACAAATATTCGTGCTGGTTTGAGCCTGAGGATCTCCATGGAAGGAGGGTTCTACTTGTTCCATTGCTACGCTTCATTTTTGGCGCACACTGGTCTCTTTCTCTTGCTTCTCTTCACCTATATCACTCGCAATAATCTCCACTTGTGCTCCTCTTCATTTGCTCCCGATCCACCTTCTTCTGACTCCTCCCTTCTGCAATCTTCCAAAGATTTCCCCGTTCCATATACATCAACTGTTCAAAATATTGTAAGCTTGCAAGTCATCAAAAGCCTTTCTGTTTTGTTCGAAATTCTTCTTGATGATCATATGTTGATGTTTGTGTTTGTTTATACTGGCCGGCACACACACACGTATATATATGGTAGCGGCCGCGAAGACGGAGTCATTTGCAGAGAGTAGAATATGGACTGGCAAGGGCTCGGTGGGCAATACGAGAAGCAGCTCGAACACGAACATATGGTTCTTTCAAAGATAGCGACTTTCTTCCCTCTGGATCTCTCTACCTAAACCCTTATGCCTTTCACCAGTTAAGAGCTTCCCACTCTTTCCTTCGTTAAATCGACCTTAGTTTTGAATGTTTTAGCTTCAACTATTATTGCATTGTCGTACTAAAAATTCCTATCAAAGAATAACCTTTTTTAGGGTGCTTCGTATTAGAGGTTTCAAAAAGTTAATTGTTTTGAAAATAACTGAGGAACTTCATACTTTTCCCCCCTTTAAAATATGTAAAATAAAATAAATGTCACTACATACTGAACAATTGAGTTTTGCATAAAAATAACAAAAGAACAAAATGGAAGTCGAGCGTGGCTCATTAATTGTGTCTGTCTTACTCTTACCCCATTGAAGACGAAACTTAATAACGAAACGATATAGTGAAGACACAAGGAGAGAAAAGAGGAAGCTAGTTAAGATCACACAGTTGGCTTGCAATAGTTGAAAGGAAAAGAATGGGCAGCCTAAGATTTTGAACCAAAAGGATATGGAAGAAGGGACATAATTCCCAAGTCTTGCATTTACTATACGCATCGCCAACTTTAACTCGAGTAGCCTGCATGCTCCGTTAAAATTTATTCACCCAATTAGTAACGCTGAAATTCTCCTCTACGTACTAGCAGCCCAACTACCACATATATATACGGTCCCCTTCCGGCAGCCTTACTGTTTAATTATTACTCGTGCATTAGCTGACCTAGCTATCACCAAGATTATAATGTCAGCTAGATGCATGCACTGTGCTTTAACTACCACTCACCTTTCAAATACAAAGGGATATGTGTGTGTGTAAAACTTAATTTCCTATAGAACTGTCTCTGAGGTTATACCTATAAAAGCCACCAATGGACTTTTATATACTTAGTGACATGAAGGGTTTTCTGTAGGTGGGTTTTACTAATTTAATCTTACTCGTAGTTTTAATTTTTAAAAAAGTTATACTATATCCAATCCTTAATATAAGAGCTAGCTAACTAATTTCAGTAGATTAAAAAACTTTGTTCAATTAGTTATTTATAATAAATATGTGTAATCTTTCCTAAAATACTCTTACTAATCATGTGTATTATCTAAAACTACCATTTGATGAAATATTTAACATGTGTCATTAATATAAGAACTGCTTTAGAAAAAATGAATAAATATAAAAACAAAAAGTGGATTGAATTTTTATATTTAAAATTAAATTGAATATCAAATCAGGTCTTATATAATGGATGGAAGGTAGTGCATAGAAGCCATACATAAAACTATATGCTGTTTAATTTGATGCATATGGATGAAACAGGAGTCACAAAGAAATGGAGAAGCGTTTCCGGATATGGGTGTACAAGGAAGGAGAGGCACCCATATTCCACAATGGACCATTAAATGATATATACTCGATTGAAGGGCAATTCATTGACGAATTTGAAAGTGGCTTGAGTCCTTTTCTAGCCAAACACCCCATGGAAGCCATCTCTTTCTTCCTGCCAGTTAGCATCGTCAATATCGTACTCTACGTCTATAGACCTTACACCAATTACTCTCGCCTCCGTCTTCAGAGTATCTTCCAAGACTACGTCCATTTAGTGTCCCACAGGTACCCTTTTTGGAATCAAACCAGAGGCGCCGACCATTTCATGCTTTCTTGCCACGACTGGGTGTGTAAAGCTACGCTTTCCTTTGCTTCCTTTGCCACTGATATATATGTATAATACAAAGTGTTTGTTAATTTGTTTTTGATCAGGCACCAGATGTTTCAGCGGCCAATCCGAAGCTTTTCAAGCATATGATAAGGGTTCTTTGCAATGCAAACACTTCAGAAGGGTTTCACCCAACGAGAGATGTGTCGTTGCCAGAAATAAAGATCCCATACGGAGGACTGGGTCCTCCTTACATGACCAAACCTCCAAGCAACCGGACCATTTTGGCCTTCTTCGCCGGCGGTGCTCACGGCGCCGTAAGAGAAACACTCCTCAGGTATTGGAAAGATAAAGACAAGGATATCGAAGTTCACGGGTATCTTCCTAAAACAGCGAACTACAGTGAATTGATGGGAGAGAGTAAGTACTGCTTGTGCCCTAGTGGATACGAAGTGGCGAGCCCTAGAGTTGTCGAGGCTATATATGCTGCTTGTGTGCCGGTGATTATATCTGATAATTATGTGTTGCCGTTCAGCGAGGTTCTGAACTGGAGTGAGTTTTCGGTTCACATTCCGAGTTCAAAGATTGAGAATATAAAAGAGATATTGGAAGGGATTACAATGGAGGAGTATTTGCAGAAGCAAGAGAAGGTGATACAAGTGCGGCGACATTTTGTGGTTCATCGGCCAGCCCAGTCCTATGATCTTATGTACATGGTCTTGCACTCGGTTTGGCTCAGGAGGCTTAATATGAGACTCCCAGTCTTATAACTCCATCCCAATAAGCTAGGTTGCTACTGTACTACCTAGATTAATTATTTTCAGATCGGCACGCATGTTAATTTCCGTAGCATTTACGTGCATTGCAAGTAATTTTTATACTTCCAGTTATTAATTATATTTAACGAAACGAGAACAAATATACATCGCAAGCAACGCGAAATTGAATTTCAAATATAATGTAAAATGACGTATGTGCATATGTTGAGAAGGCATAAATATCAGTAGCAATTAAACCATGTCAAGGATTCTCATCTTTTATAATGTATTGATGATTGATAAGATTTTTCTTTCTATGAAGAAAATAAGTATTTCTTATAAGAATTAGTTAAAAATTTAATTTAATTCTAAATATAAGATTTTTATTCACTTTATCTTTTATGTTTATTTATTTTTAGCCAAAATAGTCCTTATGATAACTGTACATATTAAATGATTTTTATTCTAATACGCATTATTCATAATTTATTACAAATAACTAATTTTATTAATTTTATTAATATTAATAAATTAATTATCTATCTCTTATATTAAGGATATGAGGTAATATTTAATTTAATAAACGTGGCTAAAATTGGCCTTCTGAAAAATCTGGCAAAATATTTGCTAGATTTACCATAGTTGAATAAAAATAAATATTCTTACTCCTCGGTTAGGGAAGGATCACGAGGAATGCGTCAAATCCAATATTTTATGACTCATCAGCAGGCTAAGCCAAAACACCGCTCGCTTGCAAGTACTCCTCTTATCTTTAATATAAGACTCAATTTTTGAGTTGGTTTTAATCCTAAATATAATATACATTTTTTATATTTATCAATTTTTTTTAAATTACCCTTATAGATACTCTCTCAACTATAATCAAATAAAAGAGAAAGAAGGGTATTAAAAAAGATGATTATAATATTTTAGGAATAATATATCACTTTTTTCATAATTAACTAACTTACCTAACTTTTTTAATCTAATTAAATTAGTTGCATAGGTCTTATATTAAGGATCGGAAGAGTAATATTTTTCCCACTTCTTTTCCCTGGTTAATGTATAAAAATAGTTGGAAATCACATTTTTACCATCCATCATCCATGAATAATATAACAGCCTATTTAGTACAATAATTACCAAAAGTTTATATTAACATATCAATATAAAATATAAAAACTACGACAATAAATTACCAATAAACAGTAAACACCGTAATTCATTTCATTTCAAATTTTATGTAATAAATAAATAGTCTAGTTGGGTAATATAGCGATGTACTAATATTGATACATGTTGGTCGGAATAAAATTTTATATCTATATATAACAATATTATTATAAATTATAAATGGTGACTCTAGTGTTAAGGATCGATCAACTTCGGCCCATCACATCATAAGCCATCAGAGCCGAGGATCGATTTGACGCGAATTCCTGATGACTAGAAGTCTAGAGCAGCACAAACGGCCCAGTCAATTCTCGGTATTGAGTAATGCCACTACGATGCCACTGAACTTCTTAATTAAAAAAAAATGGAAATTCCCATCAAAGATTAATATTCAAAGAAATTAATTACTTCACCTGAGAAAGCTATGCAATAAGAATCTAGCAAGAGATCACTTTTGGAAAACTGGGTATCGAAACTATAAAAGACCCTGTAATTTTTTTCCTCAAAAAGAAAAAAAGGGGGGGGGGGGCGAAGCAAATGAGAATGGTATTTGCAACCTCCAGTTCTATTGGACTCACTCGCTCACCTTTATAGGCAAAATTTCACCGAACCACTTCATCTCCTCTATTTCACCACACTCTGCTCTAACTTTTCAACCAGCTAAAGGGATCCAATTTTCTGCACTACATAACCCTAAGCAATAATTAAGTGTGCTTAAACCAGGGGCCCACAGCGCCGTTGATGTGGCCATTGCTGTGGATGCCTGCCCCATTTGGAATGAGTGATGGAGGGAGGCCCACAGGCAATGGAGGGGAGGCAGAGGGATATAATCCATGATTATGAGAAAGGGCATGTGGACTCACAAGAGGACTACCAGCTGGACTCCCTTTACGCTGTTGAAGGGCATGGATCTGCCTTAGCCCTTCCTCGTGGATACGTGATAGTGTTTCCAACTCTTTCATTGACAGGGCCTCCAGACCAGCGCCATATAGAGGAGCATGACGTGACATTTCCTCTTGAAGTGAAGCTTCCAGTGTGTGAATATATTGCTGCAGAAGGGAAACATCAACAAGTTATTAACAATCAGGAAAACACACGCTACTTTTTGGGGTATCAAACAAATACTACTTTAACGTTGATTCTAAACTCTTTTTGGAAAAATATATAGTTGATTCTAAACTTCGATACATTTTTTAACTAGAGGACTTCAGGCATTAAAAAATGAAGTATACATGAACATCGGTTGGTACAAATACAACGTTGAACAAACCTGGCAAGCCTGCAATTTTGATTCCATGCCATCAATATATGCTTCACACCTAGTAACCTGCTCTTCCTTCTCTCTCTTTTCTTCCTCAGTTTGCCCAACCGTTTGCGTCAACCTACGAACTTCATCCTCAAGTGATTTTCGTATTTCTTCCCGAGTGATATTTTCTGTAGCATATCTTTTCAGTTCTTCATCAAATCTCTTCCGTGCAGCTTCAGCACTCTTCAATCTTTCAGCAAGTGCATTTTTTTCCTTGACTACTTTCTGTGCGCAATGAAGTTAACATCAGTTTAAGACATAACCACATTAACACGCAGTTACCAATGCAGAACAACAAGCCACACTACCTATTCCTAGGCCAACATTACTAAAGCCAGCAAATCAAGAAATTTTTTTTCTGAACTAGTATTTTAAGTTTCAAGTGACTACAGTGTATTGATCGTTAACGTCAAAATAAGATTTTAGGAAGCCAGTTCATGAAAGATGCAAGCATGACTAATCTTCAATAGGAAAGTACAGCATTTAACATTTTATCGTCCTTGGTTTCTCTAACATAACCAATGATCTATAAATAGAGATTTTAATTGCAATACCTTCAATTCATCACGTTTCCGGGACTTCAATAGTGAGAGTTGTGCCTCTGCATCATGCACACGGTCCTGAAGAGCTTTCTTCTCTGCAGAGAGCTTTGCTATTTCATCATCCCGCTCGGAACGAAGCCACTCAAGCTGACTTTCAACTTCTTGTATTTGTTCAACTAGCTCCTTCTTCTCCCGAGCAAACCGATCCATCTCAGCCCTCATTTCAGACTGTCAAATCATGAAACTCATCAGATCCAAAATTTCCATCTAGCAGTTAACTACAAGAGATAACCCAACTATATCATCAAATAAGACATATATAACCTTGAGACGAATACTTGTGGCCTCGGATTCACTCAGTTTTTGTGTAACAATAGCTTTTTCCTTAGCCATATTGGAAATCTCAGCTTTCTTTTCTTCACGAAGGCGAATGATTTCATCTTCACTAGCACATAACTGGTGCCATAGAGCAGACCGATCAACATTTGCAAGTTCGGCAACTTCCCGTATCATACTCAAAACAGATCTAGCAATTTCCTGCTCCTCACAGACCAAAGTAACTAAAATATCCAAATCTAAGTCTACTTCATGTCCATTATCTGTAGTGCTGGTGGCACGGTCAACAAGCCTCTTAAGCATTGTCCCTCGATAAGATTCATCAGCATACCATCTAAACAATATCAAATAGAGTAACTTTACAAATTCTTTCACACATGGCTCTGTGGACAATGCTAATTTTTCAGCAAGACCAAGAACTGAAGTAAAATCATCTCTTTGAACTCCAAAGGGTTCATTGGCGTTTCCCTCTGCAACAACATCTGAACATGGAAAACTTTCAGATGCATCTCTGGAATGATTAGTCAGTCTTTGGGAGGCACGCTTCTCCAAAACCAAGGCTACAGACTGAGCACCAACTGCACCTCGAGCTACAGCTCTCTCAAAGGTTTGAGAAGCTTCAACAGCAAGACAAGGAATTGATAGCATCTCAATCAGTATGTAAATATCAGAAAAATAACAACTAGCTTGGAAAGCCTGTTCATCAACCACATTCAATCCAGAAGGAGCTGTGCCGTGTTCACCAAATAAGAAAAGTCCACATGACATCACTGAGCAACTGTCACCCAAGTCATCATCACAATCAATGTCCCTCAGTATAGTTTCAGCAACATCCCCCCAACTATTAACAGTCTTGCTCAGAAAGTCAAGGACACAAGGTGAAACTTGAAAACCTAGATTTTTGAGTCTAACACGAACGGATCTAACCTATATAAAGGTGAAAACAAGGTCAGAAAAGATTCAAAAGATATTCTAGAAAGATGGCAGAAGCTATTGAAGGAACACGATGAAATTTCAAACAATTTTAAGCTTACTGCTTCAGGAAGATGTTGACATTGAGATGCTGCTTTGAATATAAAATCTATAGTTGCAGCAAGGGGTTCGCCATTTGAGTCAGCCAAAAGCTCAATTGATTGCAACAGAACACGTTCCCACACTTCACTACCGCACTCTAGTTGACTAAGAGCCTCAAAAACCTAACAAACCAAAATACCATCAATTGGAGAGAAATACGATGTGGCCTTACGCAGCATCATTTCAACATTTGAAAAGCAGTTTAAATTTAAAAATTGCTCTCCCAGGACATTAGATGTATATGATGTGATAGAATAACATCTTAGACAAGACATTGAGGAAAAAAATAATGCCTGTCTTACAGGCATTCGCAAGGCAGGTTCTGCATCTGGCTTTTGAAGTCGCTCAAGAAGTGCACAGGCAGCTAGTGGATGTTCTGAAGGCTCAACCAATTTGGGAACAAGCGCTACTAGGTCAGATTGCAAATGCTTAGGAGCTTTGTCCAACACAACAGAAATTTTGCGTGCAGACTGAGGACGCCGTCGTGGCTCAGGGCAGCCTTGCGGAACAGCCCCATCAAGGGTTCTCAGTGAGTTTACAATTAAACCTAAGAGCTCCTCAGACTGTTCTGGCCACTTGGTCTAAAATTCCCAAGTTCACACAAATTAATACCACAGATATATCAAACAAAACCAACTTTTATAAATAAAAATCGTACCTTTGATCGAAAGGATGGATTTTCTGAAACAACAGCAGATGTTTCAGGTGGAAAAATAGGTTGTCCAGGAAGAGCTTTCTCCTGAATAACACTACCATTTGAATCACTTTGTACAGCAGATGTACTACCACTTCCTTCCTCAGCAGAATCCAATCTCTCATAAACAGGAAATTGAGCAGATCCTGCTGCCCCATTTTCTCTATCACATTCAAGAGGACTAGCAGCTCCACTGCTATCAGGAGATGTTTTCGAGCATGCATCAGGAGAATCAGCAGCACAGGACCCTTCAGAAGGTTGGCAGCATTCCACCATTATATCCAAAAGTAAATCAATGATTGCCTGTTGCAAGACCTTAACTCCCATCAGCAAATTCATCAAACTGGGGGAAGATTCATCGGCCTTACCAACCTTCTTCCCATCACAACCACCAGAGAGCTTGGTTGGAAGAAGCAGACGCTTTACTTTCACAGGATCATCAAGATAAACCCGCAGTCCAGTCAGAAACCCAGCAATTGCACCAGCATCCATTAAAAGCTTTTCTCTTAAAGTAACTTGTGGCTGTGAAGGATTATCTCCATATGTTAGGTGAAATCCAGCTCGAGAAAGAAGATTTCTAAAAATGTCTTCTTCGTCTCCACTTATTCCTTCACTGTCTTCAGAGTCAATGAGTTCATCAGGATCAGTTGTCAAAGCATCCTGGTCATCATCAGAAGCTAAAACCTGGTATTACAAAAGCCAGGTTAAAAAGAGGGAAGAAACAACGGTGGCAATAGAAAAAATAAAATTCATAGCTGCAAGAAAAATCCAAATGAAAAATTCTGACTCCATGGCCACTGACAGTCTAAGAGATAAATTAATTGATGACCATGATATGCTTAAACTAACTCATACGGTATGGCCCACCTAGTGGATAAAAATATTCAGCGAGTGCAAGATAATGAACAACAGTGTCAACCAACTTTAACATAGCAACAGCAGAACATAGGGAAAGATTTGTCTTTATGAGGAGGAGGAAAACAGGCCCATTTCATTCATTAGAAAGATGGGGAGGGGACTACAGTCCTAACCGTATCATTTGCAACAAGATCCCTTATGGACAGTTGAATGAATGTTCTCATGGATCACAGTATCAATAGAAGATAGCATGTTGAATTTAGCAATTGTGTATGCATTCACGCATGCCTGTGTGTATGTATTAAAACACAAATATAAAACAGATCCCATGGCAAAACCAGATCCCACAGTTGAAATCAGTGATGCATAAATGGCATACGAGCTCCATGTAACATAAATAACAATACAAAATGAGTCGTCAAGTATGTTGATTTCAAATATAAACCACCTTATATGCATTAGGAAAACAGAAAAATGGAAAGACAGCGAAGAGGAGACACAGAGAAACTCTAAAGGTACTGCCAAAAACAGTTACCTCTAAGTCTGAAAAATCAAACCAAGGGCAGCAATCCAATATTTCACAGACAAAAACAACAGTGTCACGAACAAGAAACCCTGCATCTGCTTCCAATATATCAGCCACCTTCATGAATTGCAAAACAGAATTATTCCATGTCTTCGTACAAATAGAGGATTCCTTCCACACTGTCTTGGCTGGATTCTTTTGATTCACAACAGCCATCCTGTATTTAACCCAAAAGTTTTTATCTGGGTCACTACCAACAGCCTGATCGCTCTCTAGATAGATGCATATGGTGTCAAAGGACTCGTACACACCTGTGTCACAGAAACATGAGCTCAGAGTATAAGAACAAGAATGCAAAAATTGTATTGGCAAGAAAAAGTACCACCTACCAATCCGAAGTTCACATCCACCAGCCTGAAAAAATTTGCTAAAGATCTTTCGAGTCTCCATTATTTCCTTAAATGACAGGAAATTCTCCACTTTCCATGTAAATGTCCTTCTCTTCACATGGCTATCGGTAAGGGAACCACTACAACTCAGCTCAGAATTGTAATCAATCAAATCCTGCATCATTGATGTCTCTTTCAATATAAGAACTTCCGCTGAGAATACAACAGTATCCTGGACAAGAAAACCCGAATCTTGATCAAAGAGGCTAGTGAGGGTCACAAATTCACGCCAGCCCCAATCTTTTGCAGCCTTGGAGTAGCGGTTCTGAGATTCCTTACTAACAGACTTTTCCTCCATCTTCTGGTTCACAACTGACAACCGATGACTAACAAAACAACTCCAATCGCTGGAAGTATTTCTTGAATCTGTAACTTCAAGAAACACTGAAAGGTGGCAAGGAGGCTGAGACTGCCCTGATAGTATTAAACACAGGTGAAAAAAATCAGCAGGATCCTTTACTAATGACATTGTTTTGACCTATTAAAAAAAATGTTTATTGAGAAAATATCTGGAATTTATGGACTATACCCATGCCATTGAAAAAGCATCACAATTATAAGCCATCTTTCGTAGTGGTTTTAACGAACTTGATCTCATCATAAGCACAATCACATAGTAACAATAAGGTAAGATGATGTTGCAAAAACAGCCTCTCAAATCAAACAATTCCAAAAGATTCTTATTCTAGTTAAAAATATACATCAGCTGCTAAATTCATTAAAGAGTTAATTCTGATAGCTCCAGACCTATCATCAGGAAAGTGAAAAACAAAGGAAAAAGATTTAGGGAAAAGAAAATGGCAGACCTCGGGGATATACAATGAGACGACAATCTCGATTACCAATTTGAAACCTCCGGCTCTTGATGCAAAGACCCGTGATTTTTCTCTTCTTCAATAAATCCTTTAACCTTGTGAAGTTTTCAATCCTCCAAGTAAACTTACCCATATGACCATCTGATTTCCTTGCGCCACTCCCACTTCTTCCTGCAATTAAAGCCCCATTCTTAGAGAAGCTACTAAACTCTTTAATCACATGAAATGAGGTACTAAAAACTGCAGTGTCATCCACCAGAAACCCTGAATCAGGCCCAATAAAATCTGACATCTTCATATAATCATTCCATCCCAAGCTCGTATTATCACCACTTTTATTATCAGCAGCAAACCGCCCATACGAATCCCTATGCATGTGATTCGAACCTGGCCTCTGGTTCAAGACTGACATTCGAAATAAACACCAACAACTCTTATCGGACAACATCACTGTCTTGTCCGTATCCTTACTTTCCAAGCACATTGACAGATATTCGACCCCATTTACCGAGCTCTGATAGACACTAATCCTCAAATTACACTCCCCAGCTGGAAAAACGGGGCTCATTATCTTCTGTGTTTTTATCATCTCCTTGAATAAACTGAAATTATGCACTTTCCAAGTGAATTTTCCACTCAACACGTCGGACACAGGGCCCGCAACAACAGAGGAAGATATCATGGATGAAGAAGAAGATGCCGATGATTGCAGCTCATTGTTGTCTCGAGTAAAATTAATGGACTCATTAAGAATAAGAATATCAGCAGTTATCAATACCGAATCACCATTAAACAAGTAGCCCAGTTTTGGATCCAATACTGTTGTAGAAGGCGTGAAATCACACCACCCGTGTGATTTCTTCTTACTTGAGAACCGATGCCACGAATCCCGATGAATGGTCTTAGAATCGTCGGAGAGGTTCACGATTGCCAAACGGTAGCTAGCAAAACAGTCCCATTTGGACGAGGAAGTGCCCCGAGGGTCCATGATTTGGAGGTAGATGGAGACATAGCCGGGCAAGGCTTGCGAGTCACCCTTGGGGTATATCAAGAGACGGCAATCATAACCTCCGACCTCGAAGTACTTGCTCCATAGTGCCCTAGCTTTTATTCGTGGAAAATTATGCACCGTCCATCGGCAAACGGCCGAGTAGTCGCCCCGGCGTTCGACGGTCACAGACTCCTGGGCGCCGCCTCCATCCCTTGACCCTATAGCCAAGTCCTCCGGAGCAGCGGCGGACGAACCTAAAACGGGTTTTTCGGGCGAAGCCAGCGACGGCGATGAAGTAGCAACGTGTGATTGGTCTGTTGAAGAGGGTGCAGAAGATAAAGATGGAGCTGCCTCAGACGAAGTATGCTTCATTGTTGTCTTGGCGTGGGCTCGCCTGTCCGTCTCTCTAGTCTTGTTCTAATTATCGACCATTCAAGCAGGAGAACAGAGAGCAAGGGAAGGGGAGGGTGGGAGAGTTTAGAGGGGGCGAGGATACGAGGACGCGGTGAGAGAGGGGCAGCAGGAGTCAGGGAAGAGCGCAGGATAGCAACCGTGCGCTTGTTTGGGGAGGCGTGAGTTCGTATCTCTAGGGAACTAGGGGGCGCATGATAGCATCATGGGCTTTTTATTTTCCAACAATAACTTTTTGAAGTTTTCAATTCATGGTGAAATTGGCTGATACGGACAGTGATAAGATAGACAGATATTCGATGAACAACAGACCGGACAAGTTACTTGCAACAGGGCATTTCGCGGCCGTCGGTTTTGGGAGATTGATGCAGGGCGTCTGGTACCGGTTGTTTAGGACCCGGCTGCATTGCTGATGGGAACGCCCTATATATTTCACCTTCACCGAGTCTTTTCCCATGTAAGAATAGGGCCACGTCAGCATGTAGGAAATTTTAGGGTTGTTTTTACGTTGGCCGGCGTGCTGTGATGCGTTGGAATGTTGGATCGAATTGATCCTCGCACTATTTTACTCACCCAGCTCGGCACTTTCTCCTGGTCCATTATCCATCCCTCCGATCCTTGATGCGTACGCCCCCAAAAACAGTGGCGAGGTGTGTTGTTTTATTACTCTCGATAGATTAACGACTCAATAATAAAAGGTGCCACGGACGAACAATCAGGCCTCGTCTTTTTACTTTCTTTATTGAAAGTGAAAAATGCCTCGTACCCAATTTAGAAAAGAAATGAAAATGCCATTTCCCTTAGTGGGCCAATTTTAATGAAGAAAACATTGAATTATCAACTCTTTTCACAAGACTACACTTTAGGGGGGGGAAAACAATCTTATCATGACCTCCAAATATCGCGAAGAAACGATGTTATCCAGATAGTCCGATAGGGAACAAGCATCATCAAAGCAAACACATTATCATCCATTTAATAAATCTTCCGTGGTTTCACACCCTGAAGCAATAAATATATAAGGTAAGGTCATTGCTCACCAAAGAGATCCACCTTAACTGATTTTTTTTATTTGATTTAGAAAAAACTATCTTTTGGGTCGATACTTGAATGGTTTACTGTGATAACACAGGAAAATTAAAATTGGACAATATTTTAGCAGCTAATGGGGACAGTAGGGCACTCTGGATGTGAGTGTCAATCGTCCCCATACGAAGGCCAGCAATAACAAAAGAACACTACTGTGGAAGATGTCAACAAAGCTGAAAACTGCCAATGGCGTTATAATATAGCAACTATCATGTAACTTCTTAGATTATGTTTGATAGGAAGCATTGAAAATTAAAAATAAGGATTGGGAGTGGGATTGAAAAAATCAGTTAAAAGAGAACTTAACATAAGAGATTGCTTGTTAGATGAGATTAGTCAAACCCATATATGTGGGATTGAGGAATACCATGGGGAGAAGTGGTATTCCCTAATCTTACCTCTACAAGTTTGCCTAATCCTATACAATAAGCAATTACTCATACTAAATACTATTTTGATAATTTTTTTTAATTGCAATCTCAATTCCTATCTCTCATTTTCAATGCTTCCTATCAAACATAACCTTAAGAGTTAAAACTCATAAGAGTTATTTACATTGATACCCATAGCCCTCAAAAACAAAAGAGTTGACTGCTCATCATTTATTTAATTATTTATAATATAAAATTTATAGGAACTAACACTACTCAAAATCAGTGTGACTGAAGCCCACACAAAATAAAGGACCCTAAAATCTAATAACATTAGGCAAGTCACCACGGTCCCTGAAAAACTCCCCCATCTCCGATACAAATACATGAATTTCCACAACCACCCAAAATGCAGAAAAATAAAAAGCTATGCAAACTTCTTGTGTTTTAGTTTCATAATTGCTGCGTGCGTAAATCAAACATAAAAACAAGGTCAAACAACGAAACCACGATCAAAATCCTATCCTTTCCCCTTAGTAGAAGGAAAACTACTGAACACTAACAACAAGAAGTTGCGGTGACATAACTCAAATATGTAAAACTTGTGAATCAATGTCCTGTTCAATCCAAATTTTATAAGGATACAGACACCATATATCATCAAACACATTTTCTGAAGATTGAATACTATTTGTAAAAAGCCCAGTCAAGCCTCTGCATCAAAACCAACCCAAAACACTTCGATTCTATGTCAATAAAGACACTGGCAACCAAGTGCAAATGGAGCTGAACCAGTAGAAATTGACAGAACGATGAAGGCTAAGGAAGAAACCTCTGCAAGCGGATTTGTGAAGGAAAACAAAGCACACTTTAACTCATTTGACAGTCCCTTCACTTCAGGCAAGACGGTAGTGCAAGCCCATGGCAAACGAAAGCCAATACAACATAAACAATCACTATCAGGAGAATTATAAGTGCGAGCCTGCAACATGCCAGTTTGTCAGGAGCACAAAACCCCAAATATAGAGCCTTCGAACAACAAATCAACCACGTCGGGAATTGAAGTCACAGTTATTTTAACAGATATGAAAACTCAGTCAATTGTACTGAAGCACTGTAAGACACCAACAACTTCCCTCTAAACAATTCTACAAGCTAGAGGAGCTAATCACTCTCAGTCAGCAGTTCAGAATAAACTAAATGTACTCTCACCAAACAAAATGGAGATGAAGTTACAGTTATTTTGACAGAATTAGTTCATATTCCTTGAGTAAGTGAAAAACTTTATCCTTGTGTCAGTGTCACACAAAACATATAAAACTCTACAGGGGAAAATATTCCAAATCATTTAAGACATAGAAGCTTTATCATTAAAAATTTAAACCATATTCACTGTTTATGGATGCCAAAAAGAAAAACATCAACCTCATACTACTCAATATCAGCAGCGTCATCATTAACAACTCACCCAGAGTTAATCGACCAAGAGAAAAAGTATCCCCCTTCTACTGATGCGAGTAGAAAAGTCTACAGAAGTAAATTTGGGTTTTAGGCAGAAAACATACGTAAGCTTGACATTTCTCCACCACACCGTGCTTCTAAAGCGGCGAGCTTGCTTCCTAAAGCGAAAGGTGTTCCCTTGCATATTAGTAGTCTTATCCACCAACAATTCCAATCGATCACCTCTGTCAAGAACTTTGTCGATGTTTTCAATCATGACATTTCTTACCTAATAAAGCATTGAAAGGAATTATCAGTGATACCAAAAATGTCAAGGCAACAAGTTCCTGACAACCAACAACGAAGATGAACTAGTATATCCAGCTGAAAGATATTGAACATCCAAATTCTTCCAAAATATCCTTCAGAAGATGTTGTCGAATGTCAACACTTCAAGTTTTACGTGGAAAATTATGAAAATTGCTTACAAGGCATAAGCATGACATCCTTATAAAGGCAATAAGGATCAGTCATGTGACCAAGAAATTCAAATAACATTACTTCCACATTTTGGTACTGTTGCAAGACTATATCAGAACTGCCATTCGGAAAAAGAATTTAGAGACATCACTTTACAACAGACATTTTATAACATATATCAATTAGCCATAAAAATGGTTAAAAGAATACTTAAGGAAACAAGCAACATTTTCTACACAAGAGGAAACACGGACAGTGTAATACTACGATAGAAACAAATTGTAACCTCTATGCAGTATTCTTATGAAGCTTGATTTTATAGTCATCTTAAACAAAGTAGACAGCGAGGTAAATTCCAAATTAACACTCAGTTCTGTTGTCATTTTTTCAGTTCAGGCTTTAAATAGAAGTTACCAGCAAACAGAATTTACACAGATCTAATGAAGAATGGTTACTCTCTTATTCTTCTTGATACAAACAAACTAGTGCAGTACTGGCCTATTGTTCTATTATATCACATGATCATGTCACATAATTTTCTTCCTCATATATTCAGCAAAAAGGCGTTCATAGAGAAGCAAATGGTTAACATTAAACTTCTAACTCATCAAAGTAACTACAAAGCAGATGCACCTGCCCAAAGATTAGAAGAAAGAAAAATGATAAGTCAAACAGAGAAGCACGTGCTGGCCCAAAAAAAAAAAATCCGAGCAATATGAAACCATACAGTCTCAACCAAATTTAATTTGCTCCTTTCAATGACTGATTTACTAGATGAGTTTAATGATTACCTGGCTCATTTCACCTTTTAGTCGATTTATCCTGTCGGCATTAGGATCATTAGAGTAATACTCCATTTGCTGGCTTAAAATTCTTGAGAACTCCTCATTCATCCCATAAGCTTGAGCAGAATGAACTGCACGCCCATAAGTCCTCACAAATTTCTGATGAATGTCCTCAAGAAATGCAAACGGAATTCTCCCTACAAAAGGAAGTAAAGAATGTATGTTGACTACAGATTAGCAAGATCAGGTCAAAATATACATGCACAGACATTGGCACGACAAGAATACTGGGTAAAAAGAGATTCAATAGATGAACAAACTAACAAGGTAATTCTTGCTTCTTCAGGATTCATTTTCCAATAAGCTTAAAAGCAATAGTATTTAACAAGTACGGTTAGGTCTCAAATGATATCTCGCAGGGGCGTAGCTTATACAATTTATTACAAGAGGCCAAATCTCCATGGATGGTCTATCTAAATTATCAGAGCTCCAAATTTCGATATCGCAAAATTGAACCAAACATGCTAAAAATAACAAGTTCCACTAAGTTTTCATTTACAAAGGCACATGAGGGGCCAGTAGAATTCAACCAGCATAGTACTTGTCAAGATCGACAGCTTCTCAGATTCAACTAGGACAACTTTGCAAACGAAACAAAGCCAAAAGGAAGCCCCAACCAACGGAAGTAGAAGCGCAGGAAGAGCATCTGAGGAGGTGTACATAGAATGATACCAAAACATTAAAGAAAAAACGTTTACAGCTTTATCAGAAAAAAATCGCGATTGACCAAATTCATCAAAGATACAGGAAGAACGGACAATTATTGGGGCTACAGCTGGGAACCAAATTTCTACACGAAGTTCCCCCCTTTGACGATAAGACATCCATATCGTGAAGAAATTGTTCATAAATATAATAAACCAGAAAAAAAAACATGATTAATACAAAATAACAAGAATAGAACTCACTGCCAGCGGTTTCGTCGGCCATACAGAGGACAGTGAGACCATCGGTGCGCTTGACGTGAAAAATGTAACGATCCTGAGAATAAGAGACATGCGAATCATTGTTGCCCGGTATCTTCTCCAATATCTGGCGCGCTATGGCGCTGGCGTTTGTCGACGTCGCGCTGAATTCCGACAAAACCACCGATCCCCTCGCCACAAGCGCGTAAAGTATGGCCATACCCTCTCCTGCCTATATTCCTCGCAATAACAGATTTGATGATTAGGAGAGAGCTCTTCCTGAGAGAATTATCGGGGAAATCAAATAGTCATAGAGCTAGATCAACTTCGATATCCAGACGAGGAGGAAGCTTCTGTACTTTGCCGGTTTTCCTCTGCCGTAACTGGACCTGGCAAGTCCCTCTCTGAGCTGTAAACTTATTTAATTGATGGAATATTATAATGAATAATCTGATTTTCTGATCTGCGTGGTGCCTTTTGGCGCAAATCGATGCAGGAAATTGAATTTTCCAGGGTCCGGGTTGTTTGAAAGTAAATTATGAATCGAACCGGGGCCCGTTTGGCCGCGCATTCCTCACTCTCCCTTGCGCGCTATTTGAAAACAAGAAATTGAAGTAGTTAGCGTTTATTTTAATTTATTATCGCTAACACCAAACTCCAAACAACTTCAAATATTTATTTTTCGTCCAAAATAAAAAAATGGAACGACTGGGTAGCATTATTTTTTTAGATGTATTTTTATTCTATTGTATGATAAATTAAATTTTTTTGTTCATAAAATTCACACACAAGATATACAAACATCAAATAAAATAATTTTTTAAAAATACAGATAAGATTAGCATTTTTTTTTAAAGAAAAAAAGGGGGTTGTATTGAATATTGAATATTACTCGTAGTATTATATTCACATATGCGCGGCATCCTGCACAAAGAGAGTCCGTCGTCATGTTCTTAAAAAATGACAAGTTGCCGGTTACTTGCGCCACGATTTTATTTTTAAAGTTATCCGAATTTATATGAATAAAAATTAAAAACCATTTTCTGAATTCGTCACGCTTCCCTCGCCTCGTTAATCCTTTCCGTAGGTTCCTGTCCATGGTGCCGAAAAACAAAACTTCGATGGATCATGAATCACTCCTTGCCTCAAATGTTTCAAATGGTCAAGATAAAGGTAGCACGAGTATAAGAAGGCAAGAAAAGTCCAGAGTTTAAACTATAAAAAATTAAAAATTTAAATTTAAAAATGTTATTGATAAGCATTTCACAATCAACAATTAAAATAAATAAAGCTAGGCATGACTTATAATCAACTAATCATTAAGACTTCAATTGTTGAAACAAAATGGCTTGCATTGTCCGGGCCCAGTTGGTGCGAAGGCTGGAAAAACTGGGGCTGGAATTTGGTTCGGTCCAATAACTGGGGCTGGAATTTGGTTCGGTCCAATAACTGGGGCTGGAGCTCGAGACCAACTAAACTGCCGGGCCTGTGCGGGATCGAAATAGAAAGGACTAGGCCCAATTGGAGATATTAGGCCACGTGACTCTCACCTAAAACAAAACTGTTAGTGAGTTGGGTACTTGGGCTGTTTTCTACATCTTCACCAAACTTGCTCGGGCCGCTTGTTTTTCTCTCGTTCTTTTTTTTATATTTCATGGAATTAAAAAATAATATTCTGTGAGTTATGAATAAAATTAATGATGGTAACTAATACTCGCTTCAGTCTTAAATATAATAGCTAGCTGAAAATTTGATTTGACTATAAATACAAGACATTATTCTATTTTATCTTTTATATTTATATATTTTTCTTCAGACCAGTGCCCATTTTAAAGAGTTTCTATTGTAACACAAATTATTAGTAAAGATATTTTGAACAAAACAACACTCATTTATTACAAATAATTATCTTAACTAATTTTAAATTAGTTATCTAGGACTACCTTTGGTCCTTAATACTACCTCCGGTCCTAATTATAAGAGCCAGTTGACTGATTTGAGGAGATTAAAGAAGTAAGTTGGGTTAGTTATTTGTCCTAAATAGGTGTTGTCTTTCCCAAAATATCCTTACTAATTAAGTGTATTGACTAGAACTATAATTGTTAGAATGACTACTTTGGAAAAAGAAATGTATAAACACGAGAGACAAAGTGGATTGGGGTCTTATATTTAGGACCAAAATTTAACTTTTAGTTTGATCCTAGATATAAAACCCCAATCCACTTTGTCTCTCATACTACCTCCGGTCTTTAATATAAGACCCTATTTGACTTTTATTTTAGTCCTAAATATAAAACCCCAATCTACTTTGTCTTTCATATTTATATTTTTTTTCTAAAATAACCCTTCTAGTAATGATAGTTCTAGTTAATACACTTGATTAGCAAGGATATTTTAGAAAAAACAACACCTATTTAGAACAAATAACTAACTCAACTTACTTCCTTAATCTCTTTAAATTAGTCAACTGGCTCTTCTAATTAGGACCAAAGGTAGTATTTATAATTTTTTTCCCATGATAATTCTTCTAACAATAATAGTTCTAGCCAATATACTTTATTAATAAAGATATTTTAGAAAAGAAACCACCTATTTATTACAAATAACTAACTTAACTTCTTTTCTTAATTTTTTCAAATTAGTTAATTAGCTGACCGGAGGTAGTATCATTTAAAAAAAAAAAAACAAAGAAAAATGCAAGGCAGTGACTTTAATGGCCTTGAATTTGGCAGGCCCTGCTTAACCTGCTGCTCATCACATCACTCAAAATGTCTTTTATACCGTCAACTCCGTGAGTGGAGGAAGCTGATGTGTAAAAGCGGAACTGCCTTGAGAATAAATCGCAAATCATTTGCATAATTAAAGAAAATTCCGAAATATTTAATTAAAAGAATTACAGATTCAAATTGTTTGATATTCTATGGAGTATCTGAAACAATTACGTTCACGATAGGTGTTCGCCTTTACTGGGACAACCAGGAACGCGTAGGGCTTCTAATTCTAACGACGCGTGGGGGAGGAATGAGGATACTAGCAATAAAGATGATCACTGAACATAATTGATTAGGATATTAAGCTATACGTTAAATTAGAAAAATATTGATGCATGGTCCCATTTTTTAGGCTCAGCGCGCGCTCCACATGTTCCATCCAACCCCCGTCTATAAAATACTACGAGCCAGGCCTTGCTGGCCCGACATGCAACGTCCGTTCACGTGCTTCCCCCTTTTTGCTTATTTCCGTTTTAATTTGATTTGCTTTTTACCGGCCCGTTTTAATATAATACACCATCCATAAAATTTCAATAATGCGATTCTTTTTTTTTATACGTCAGAATTATTAAAATGGAATCAAAATATACAATGTTAACTTTTAAATAATAATGGCATATATATGACGCATCATATGAAATTTACAACAACCAAAAAAAAAAAAGACCACACTATTGTGAATAGAAAAAATTGTTATATCTTTTTTATGGAAATTGTATGTATTTTATTTTGTATATATAATTCTGAATAACTGCATAATGTTATATTTTATTTAAAAGTGGTTATGGGAAGGCCAGTCTTAATAATTGATGACTGGCAACAGTAATACCGACAAATCCTTCACATGTGAAGACAACATATAGGCTGGAATCCGCTGTTTAAAAATAGAAATCAGCCTCTGCAGGCTCGACCCGACTCGCCTTTTTCTTTTACCTGTTATTTTCCACCCTTAACTCGAAAACAACAAATCCTAAATTAAATTATGACTATCCACCTTTATTTTACCATCTTATTCAGTACCAAACTAAGTGAAAAAATTAGGTAATTTTCTACGTCCATTTTTAACTTTTGCATTTTACCATTATTATTGACTTCCAGAACAAGAGCCAAAATTTTTGCCATTTTCAGGGTTCTCTCACAATTAATCCCCACCCCTTCCGCATGCGCTAAAAAGAGAACCAATTTCAGGCAGAAGTTCACATAATGAACAATATATTAACCAATAAATATGATTAATCACCACATGCGTGCGTACTTGTTAAAAGAAATGTCTATCGACAGTGATCCCAATGCATCAACGCTTCAAATTCCCCTGAACCTGAAGTCATGTCATTGGATCCGATTAGCCCCCGTGCAGACAGCTTAGGCCATATTAATTAGTAAAATGTACGGACAAACATGCCATTTTGTTCAACGCTTATGATCTCGTTAAGAACGTTATTTGTATATAGATATGGTGTTTTTTTTATAAAAAAAAAAAAAAGAAGCTTTGCTCCGCTGCATGCATTTCTAAACTTCATGCACAACCCATTATCGTTTGAGGTTACAACAATAAAGCCTTTTTTTATTGCCAGAACAAAGCCATAAATTTAAGAATTACTGAAGGAGGCACCGCAGTAATGATCAGGAAGCCTCCTTTTTTCTAAAACTTAAAAAGGATTTTTACCTCAAGTGACTATGGAAAAAAAAAAAAAAGGACCTGCTATTTTGTTAAAAAGAATGTAAACAGACAAAGTTGAAAATGACTGAAAATAATGTTCATCAGGTAAGAACAGGGGGACAGAAGGAAAATGACCGATAATATTTTTCTTTTTCTTTTTTCAGATGCAATGAAGCTTCCCAGGTCCGAGAGAGAGAGCAGTGAGTGCAGCAAAAGCCGAGACATTACAAGTGAGCGATTCAGAAGGATACAAAATATACAACTGTATCGTTATCACTCTCTTCCACACAATCAGATTTTCCTGCAACTTGCACTTCTCCATTGTGCCTTTAAAAACCCCCTCCACCCCCCACCGTCCTTCCCATATTCACTTTCACTTCACTCTCCGCCATGGCTTCTTCCGCCAAGCTCCGTGCTACCATTCTCGTCCTCTATCTCCTTGCCTGCTCCGCCTTCACGGAAGCTTGCGGGTCATGCAAGCCCAAACCCAAGCCCAAGCCCTGCCCGACTCCGGCGCAGGCTAAGTGCCCGCTGGACACACTGAAGCTAGGAGTATGTGCTGATATTCTGGGCCTTGTAAACGTCGTCGTTGGGTCTCCTTCTACCAGCAAGTGTTGCCCGTTGCTGGTAGGGTTGGCAGATTTAGAGGCAGCTCTCTGTCTCTGCACTGCGATTAAGGCCAACGTGCTTGGAATCAACTTAAACGTACCTCTCAGCCTCAGCTTGATCCTTAGCTCTTGTCAAAAATCTGTTCCTCCTGGTTTTCAATGTCCTTAGAGTGAGGCTCGGATCAGATCCATCTCTTTGGTTGTTAAATCTATCTTCCAACATGCTTATTATTTGGCTTCTTCTTCTTCTTTGTGTCTGGTTTGGCTTTCATATACTTGTTATTGCTGTGGGTGGTGATACTGTGATAGTGACGATTAACAAGTTAAGTTTGCCTGTTTTGAGTCTTTAATTTCGTTCTTGTGATATTGTTCTGTGCTTGATTAATAACAAGGCGAGCCCTCTTTGCTTTTTATTACTGTAAGTTGTAACCCTTGCTCGTTTTCTAGCAATATGATTATTGTGATATACTTTTAATTTTATATCAATATCAACGGTGGGTTGAGAATTTGTTGTTGTTGTTTCGTGACTCCGAGAGGGAATGGATTTGACGCACTTACATATTTTGGTTGCATTTCTCTGTACCTCTCTTATTTATTAATTGAAAGCAAAAAAAGAGATGCACAAGATAAAAAACACCGAAAAGATGTGCTCAGCATTGCCGGAAGCATAGTTCTTATACTGTTATCCTGAAAACAAAGTACTCTTCCGATTCTTAATGGTGAATCTAATTAACTAATTTTAATATGTTGAAAATATTAGTTAAATTAGCTAATATGATGTACTTTTTTCTAAAACATCCTAAGCGTCTTTCTTAATCTCTCTCTTCCTTTTTTACTTAATTATTTCTGGAAGAACATCAATAGGATTAATTTGAAAAAAAATTGATAAATATATAAAATATGTCTTATATATAATACCAATGTTAACTTTCCAATTATGTCTTATACTACCTCCGGTCCTTAATATAAAACCCTGTTTGACTTTTATTTTGATCCTAGATATAAGACCCTAATCCACTTTGTCTCTCATATTTATATACTCCTCCGGTCCTAATTATAAGACCCAATTGACTTATTTGAGGAGATTAAGGAAGTAAGTTAAGTTAGTTATTTATAATAAATAAGTGTTGTCATTCCTAAAATATCCTTGCTAATTAAGTATATTGACTAAAACTATCATTATTAGAAGGATTATCTTGGAAAAAAATGCATAAATATAAGAGACAAAATGGATTAGGGTCTTATAATTAGGACCAAATAAAAAGTCAAATGGGGTCTTATAATAAGGACCGGAGGAGTATATATTTTTTCAAAGTAGTCATTCTAACAATGATGGTTCCAGTCAATACACTTAATTAGTAAGGATATTTTAGGAAAGACAACTCCTACTTAGGATAAATATCTAACTCAACTTACTTCCTTAATCTCCTCAACTTAGTTAACTGGCTCTTATAATTAGAACCGGAGGTAGTATTAAGGACTAGAAAAGTAAACTATCTGCCTTTAGACCGTCATCACAAGGTTTGGTTCAACGCTTCAGCGGATGGGAGAGGGGAAGAAAAGTGTTTTAATTAAAAGGCCAAAATTTCGTTGTGCGCGTGATCTCAATTATTTTATTTTTAGTCTAAAATTTAAGGTTAATGTGCGCTTAATTAGAGTTTAATTTCACTCTGTTCTTGGGATCATACCGTACATGCTTGCGGACCAATTCCCGCTCATGTAATGAGGACCAAATAGGCAATTCATGATGTATGGGTTTTATAGTTGCTTTATATTTTGGAAAAAATGATATAAAAAGAAACTAGAAATTGCAGTGTTCTAATCTAGGCACTTAGGAGGCAAAAATTGTAGGAGAAAAAATAGTACCTGATTTGATATTTTATAAATATAGTCAAATAACCAAAATACATTTTATCAGTTTTTTTTAAATATCAAATCTGTCATTACTAGTATATTTTTTATTATTGGTTATCCAACACTTGTCGTTATCAATTTATGACTTATTAATAAATATTTTGTCACTGTCACTTTATCAGTGCATTTCTTGTCATTTGCTGTTTAATACTTGTTATTATCTGTTCACAATTTATTAATAAATTTGTTGATATAAGGGTATTTTTTTTCATTTAACTATATTTGCAAAATACCAGATCAGGTATAACTTTTTTTTTTAAGATTTTGACCTCTTAGATGTTTGAATTGGGATATTGTAATTTCGAGCTTCTTTTTATGTCATTTTCCTTTATATTTTTTGCTCAAGCATGAAGTTTACATGTACAGTCAATGACACGTTCAAGAATAAAAATAAATTTAACGTGTAGATCGATTCATAATTAGTTATAAATGTGCACTTGAAATGTCAATAATACCCGTTGATTTTTGTGTGGGGCCTATATACATTTGCCAATACTTTATGGATATACTTTTATAAAGTTAATATAATCTTTAGTTTTTTAAGTTTGTCTTTATTTTGGTTATGGCTTCTAAATTTTAAATCATAAGTTTTGGTCCCTCATTAAGTAAAATAGTTCAAATTTTTATTGGATTATGTATAAGGACCAATATTATAAATAAATAAAAATTTTAAAAACCAAAATTTATGGTTTACAATTTAAAGGATTAAAATCAAAATAAAAACAAATTTAAAGGAAGAGAATTCATATCATCCCATTAGTATATTAACTCATAAGAATAAAAGAGAAGATAAACAATTCGATATTGAAAAATGGAAATGTATATTCCTTCGAGGACAAAGCCCAGAAGCAATTACCTCCATCAAAGTCGTCTCATCGCATTTAGCACCAAATCAGTTAGTGTCAAGAGTTAAAACTTTCGGCCGAAAATAAAAAGTTAAGAAAGCTTGGCATTCTGGAATGATGCGGCTCTTATTCACATACATGTTCGAAACCGCTGCGTGTAAAAACAGATTTACCGCACGTAGGGTTAATTGGCCTTCTTCTCCGTCTTCTTGTTATTTCAACAGAACTATGCATAGTTAAATATAGTCCCAGTGATCAGAAAAACACTATTTATATTACATTTTAGGAAAAAAAATAGTTTTTGGTTATTGGGATCGTGATCAATTGGGACCATGGTCTTTGTAACATTGTCGTTAATAAATTAATAAATTATTACTTGGAATTATAATCAACTTTGACCAAAGCTTCTCACATATTATTACATTTTGTTCTTAATATAAGAGTTAGTTTGATATTCGATTTAATTTTAAATATAAAACCTCAATTCACATTGTCTCTTTTATTTTTTTTAACGTAATCCTTGTATTAAATGTTTCATCAAATAATAGTTTTAGCTAATACACATGATTAGTAAAAGTATTATAGAGAATATATTATTTATTTATTATAAATAATCAACTTAACAGATTTTTTTTATCTATTCAAATTAGTAAATTAATTTTTATATTAAAAACCAAAGGCAGTATTATGGTAATATGATAATAATAATTAATTTGTGGCTGATATAGCAATAATTTCCGGTGTGCAGTGGGAACCTTGATTAGGATTGACAGCAATTTTATGGACTGATTATTTAATGAAAGATCACGAGAACTTGGACTCAAGTTAACCAAAGACTTTTGGACCATCACTGCGTTTTTCATAGGTTTTATTACACATTGAACATGCCGTAGTTTAACTGGCAATGGCTGGATGGAGCATAAGAATCTCAGTAAACTATACTACCTCCGATCCTAATTATAAGATTCAATTGACTAATTTGAAGAGATTAAAAAAAAAGTTAAGTTAGTTATTTGTAATAAATAGGTGCTGTCTTTTCTAAAATATCTTTACTAATCAACTATATTAGCTAGAACTGTAATTATTAGAAGAACTACTTTGAAAAAAAAATGTATAAATATAAAAGATAAAGTGGACTGGAGTCTTATATTCAGAACTAAGATAAAAGTCAAACAGAATTCTATATTAAAGAGGGGAGGTAGTAAGAAATATTTTGAATTTGAATATTGTAAGTTAAACAAAAAATATGCTAGGAAAAATCATCTCACTAGCAGTCATGACGTGAATAAAGTCTCTTGTTCAATAACATCGAATATCAATAGAAAAGGGGGGGGGGGGACTTAATAAGGTCACCAAACAAATCTGCTTTCAGCAAAATGATGAAAATAGCTACTTATGACAGACCTTTTCCTTTCACATATTACACACAAATATATATTTCTCCCTCTGTTATCTGTGGGTATAAAAGTTGAGGCGTTAAGGCGCAGGTTAATTTACGCAAAGTGCCTTTATGGTCCAATTTGTCCCGACTTGCTTTGGCATTTTTTGAATGGCTATACATACGGACTTGACATTTTCACACAAAGCCAGGCATTTAACCCTGATCACCATTGATTTTTCCTTGGTTCACATAAGCACAGTTTATTTATTTATTTGATATGTACAAGTATTCTCTTATCAGAGACAATCATATTCGAGAGACTGCCAGACAATAAATATGGGCACCTCTTACAGCGAAGATTCAAACGTTGTTTCATTGTATTGTGGAAAATTAGCCCATTCTACTAAATTCAATCATCATGATAAAATTTTTCTATGTAAATGCAAGCATTGCAAGCAGCTAAACCAAATTATTTAAGATTTAATTAAAAATATCACAGAATAATGTCATTGAATGTGAATTATAAAATATGTTTCTTATATTTATTGTTTTTTAAAAATAAATTTTTAAATTTAATTTATCCTAATATATAATTTGTTTTACACCCACGAAATTGGAACCCTTAATTTTATTTGAAAGGAATTGAATTCACGTGCTAGTTCTTTAAATAATTTCTATACACACTTTAAGGGGCTGAATCTTATTTATTGAATTTGTAAATAACATAGATGAAATTATAATTATATGAAATTTAAATTAAAACAAAGAATTTAAAGCCGAGAAATTTTCTTTAATCATTAAACCGAATCAACACATCATATCACTAAATCGGCGGATTGACGGTGATACAATAATATTTCAGATCACTATTCATTAAATCAATTAATATTTTAGATCACGCATCAAAAAATAATTAAGAAAAAGCATGGCGGCTACTATTTTTGAGGTATCAGGGTAAAATTATTTCCATCATATTTCTATTTTAATTTCTTTTCCCATTACTGCATATTTATTTAAGAGGTTCAACAATCCGCACCCATGCTCTATGTCCATGGTCCTTCACCCACTTCTTCTCTCTCCCTCTCTCACTATACGACTGTTCATGAATGGTCTTCTTCGTGATCTTCCACAGCTTTCTTGAACTGTGCCTGTAAAGGCTTCATGCAAACAGAATTTCCACCAACACAATTCAAGAAAGCTGTGGAAAATCACTGAGATGATCAGCCGCATCGCCACCCGTACTCTTTGCTAGTACAGTCAACCAATACATCAGGTCTTCATGAACTTTTCTAGTCACTGGTTCAACTCTTTGTCCAGACATGGCAATTGATTTGCCCCAATCTTCTCATCTCTTCTCTTCTTTTTT